ACTGTCCTTTCTTTCTTGTCTTTTCTTGCTTGCCTTTGTGCAGAAGTTTTCTGTGCCGAGAACAGAGTTTGTAAGGAGGTGGAAATGTAGCCCATCCTGCCCTGATCATTAGACACTGCATGTGTGCACTGAAAGATCATGCTGTGTCCCCAAGCTATGCACGATTATCATGTGCCATTTGAGAAGGGGTGCTGCCCATGTGGGATCGAGTCCTCCAGTCTTTGTAGGACCAACTCATAAGTCCTTGGGCTTCTGTCTTCAATGTGGCAGCCCAAAGCCTGGGGCTGTCCTCTCAGCAACTTGAGGAAGTTTGAGGTGAGACTGAGAACCTATGTTTTCAATAATTCAGGGAGTCCCCACCCGTGCCTCAAGAGACCCCTTTGAACTAACAGCAAGTGTCAGAGAGCTGCCTGAATTGGGTTGGAAGCTGGCCCAGGGTTAGTCAGACCTCTTCCAAATCCAAATTATTTTCAATTCTATGAATCTTGTCTCCAGCTTCAACACCATGGTGCAAGCCAGCTGGTTCTTCCAGCTGGGAAGGAACCCAACCTTTCTAAGCCTGAAAGAGGAGAGCTTCTCATAACCTTCACCAGCATCATCCCTGCTGTTATGGTTTAGATCTGGAGTGTCCCCCAAATCTCCCATGTTCAGAGGTGGGGTCGGAAGGTGATTGGGTCAAGAGGTACCATGTTCATTGCTGGATTGATGTGAGGAGCTCCTGGCTGAGTGTGATGTTGGGGCCTGGTCAGAGGAGGTTGGTCACTGCGGGGTGACTGGCAGGCTGCGCTAGCATTCTAGCTCCTTCTTTTTTCTCTGCTTCTGACAGCCATGGCTTAAGCAGCTTTCCCCCACCATGCTGAATCTTTCCTCCAAGCCAGCTGATAATAGACTTAATCTTTTGCAACTGTGAGCCAAAATAAACGTCTCCTTCTTTAAGGTGTGGTGTGTAGTATTTTGTCACTGCCCTGGGAAAGTGACTAAGACATGCACTGAGTGACTCTGGACAGAACACAGATAACAGGCTCCCAATACGGAAGAGGGGTGTTATGGATTAAGAACTGGTGGTCAACTTAACGCCAGCTGGATTACATCAGCATGGCACTGAGCATAGACGCTCTACCTGATGAAAGTTGCCGGCATAAATAGAGAGGTGGAGAAAGAGAAGCTATTGTGTTGAAGCATTGAGGGATTATGGGTTCTCCTATGAGTTTCTGTTTGAGCCATTGGTTCTCCTGGAGAAGCTCTGGTCCTCACATCAAGCATTGCTTTCTGGCTCTGGAGGGGAAGACATGTGCCACTTGGTCTCCAGGATGAACTCGTCACACTGTTTCCTGGCATGTACCCAACTGTGCTTGTCAGAGGAGGAGCTCGGGGCCTCCGTGTTGCTGAGGATGGCTGTGATACCTTTTAGGACAGCCCTGGTCTTTGTTGTGAGTGTGACTTCTTGGCTCCAGCGTAGAGCCCTCATCCCACCAGCACAGCTCCTTCACCCTGCTGGCATAGACTTCCTGGCTTCTACCACTGACTTTTGGGTCTTCCCAGCACGGGTCCGTAAAAGAGACAGGCGTGAGTTGTTGTGAGCTCTGGACCTCCAGCTGGACTTGTGGGAGGCATTGTCATGAGCTCTGGGCTTTCATCTGGACTCATGTGAGACATTGCTGTGGGATTTAGGCCCTTGACTATTCTACGTCTTTGGTGTTGCGGACAAATTTCCCGCATTTTCTTGTGTTAACTCCTGGTGACCATTATAAAAATATTATAAACTCCATGTCCTGATTCTCTGCACAATCCCTGACCACAACAAGGGGTCTGTCCTGATGCCCTAAGTCCAGCTTGCTCTGTGCCCTGCAGCCAAGACACGGATGGAGGTATCTCTGGGGGTTTCCATTTGTGGCAGGACAGCTCTGTGGGAGCTGAGTTTCTGCCACTTCCCTCTCCCCGGCTGTCACCCCCACACCTACTCCTTAGCTTCCACCTTAGACCAGGTATTGGCAGAGGGCAAATGCCCCTGCCTCCTGCTCCAGCTGGTGGTGGTGGCTGCCAGGGAGAGGACTCTGGAAGAACAATTCACAATGTGTGTGTGTGTCAATCCGGGTGTGAGCCCAGGGCCCAATGAGTGAGGGTCTGTTGAGGTAGAACACAAGATATAAAGAGAGGTAAAGGGGACAAGGAACAGCAGAATTTTGAAATTGTACTTTGGAAAAAACTACAGCTTCAGGATACAAAAGGGACTCAAACCCTTTTCTCTTGCAGGAATCTCACTTACAAAGAAAACTTCCTGAGGGCCCTAAAGACCCAGTGGACGCCACTTCCTTCCTCCTCCCTGAGGGGCAGCAGGACACACCCCCAGGTCGCTCATCCTGAAGATACTCCAAGACCCGGACATATACCCCGTTTGAGATTATAAAGCGCAGCCTCTCTCCAAGTGCCTGCCTGACAATTCCTCATGCTGCTGCACCCTGAAAACTCTTGTTCGCAATGGGAGTCATACCTGAGGCTCAGGGCAGGGTAGATTAGGAACTCCCTTGAACCCTGTCCGGGGACAGTGTGCAAACGCTCGAGTCTGCGCTGGTATGTCTGTGTGTCCCTCATCCCTGGCTCTTGGGCACTTTGCTGGGCAGAAGCTGGGCTTTCTGCTTAGAAGGCCTGCCCCAGGAGAATGACTTCGGGCCCTTTGATGGATATGTGCACGGCCCAGCACTGCTGGACACAGTTGCCTGAGTGCAGACTGCTGCCTGCTGCAGTCCAGGGTATGGCCGCTTCCCCTTGTGAGAGTTTACGTGAAAAGGCAAGAGAGGAAAATCTCCGTGGAGGCCATGCAGAAGTATCTGCTATACTACTAACCAGAGGCAAACGCCTCACTGTGGAGTAACACGTGTGTGTGCGTGCACACATACACACACTCTTACACACACAGAAGAGAGGTCAGTGGAGAGACCCAGCTGGGGGGACGCTGCTAGCTTTGGGGTAATCACAGTGCAGTAAAAGAGAAAGCATGTTACAGCAGCTGTCCTGGACAATTCCAAATTACTGTCACACTCTGCATGGTCACACGCTGGCCCACTGGGCTCTCAAGGTCAGACCAGACGGGTGGTGGAGCAGCAGGAAGGGAGGCCAGGTTCACCTCACATTGGGGTGCACCTTCCTGGGGGACACATAGTGCAAATTCTGTGACTTCATGGGGCAGTTTAGAGTTTTAAGGTATGATATCATGGCCACCTTCACTCCCCGTGTACTGGGCTTCACGGAAACACTTGTGTGTTAAGCAGCGAAAGTTCTGGGGAGCGGTAAACGCAACATCCCAGCGTAGACTTGCACTTTTCTATTCCAGGTTTATTTAAATTACAAGTCATGGGGCTGGGGATTTAGCTCAGCGGCATAAACGCCTGCCTTGCAAGCAGGCAGTCGTGGGTTCGATCCCTGGTACCGATAAAAACGAAAAAGACAAAAAAAAAAAAAAAAAAAATTACAAGTCATCCGCTCCCACTTATTCTTTCCGTGCCTATCAAATGGATTTCTTGGCGATTATGCTTTTAAAATCTATGCTTCTAAAAAGCTTTTATTTCGAACAGTCCATGTTGCAGGGGAGCTGGAGCACACACAAAGCACAGCTTGATTCGCCTCACAGCCTCCTCCCTCCCTCCCCTCCTGCCCCTTCTCTCCAGCTCCTGGTTATGTTTTTCTTGTTGGAACTCTGTTTCTAACCCTCTTAGGGAGCTCCGGTTTTCTATAAAGGCTGCCGCCCTCCAGGGAAACCCACTGTGCCGGGCTCTCAAGGCCTTGCCGGTTTTGAGCCTCTTTTTCTGGTCTTGAGGCATTGGTCACCTGGCTGTTCACTGAGCCTATGTAGCAGTTAATCTTTTGGGAGCCTCATCTACAGGGAGTGTGGGACGTAGCAACACCGCTGCGGGTCCCTGGGGTGCACCGTCCTCCCCTGGGCTCAGGAGCTGAGATGATCTGCATTACCCTGCCAGAGCTGCTCTTAAGAATATTAGTGAGGCTTTCTTCATCTCCTATTAGTGGGGCTTCGGCTTTTGACACCAAGCCATCTCCAGCAAGAGCCTCATGGGCTGGAAGTGATTTGATGTGAAATTTACAAATAGAACAGAGTGGCTGCTGAGACAAAGTCACCTATCACCCAGCCACCCCTCCGAATGCTTCCCTCCGCTTCCCTCCCCTTCCCTCCCCTCTGCTTTCCTCCCCCTCTCCCCTCTCCCCTCCCCCTGGCCCTTACTGGATCTGCGGTCCTGCAGAGGTGACTTCTCCATGGAGTTGGAGTGTCAAAAGAGCATCTGGACCTCCAGTTTGCTTCTTAGGGCCCTTGAAGGTCTCTGCGGGGAGTGTTTCCCACCTGGGCAGCCCCCACGCCCGTGTTCTGAGGGTATTTGTTCCTCTCTCCCTGAGCTGGTGCCCATCTATAATTTTGCACTCTGTGTGTGGAAAAGGAGGAGAGGGTATCTGGGAATCGGCGTCTGCCAGCCCCGGGGGATGTCTGGGGGCTGCACTCGTGGCTGTGATTTGTGAGCTGCACTGTGGAGCCGTGTAAAGGCGCCTTTCTGAGCCCGATGTACCACTTTGATTTGACCCTGTCTTCTCCTGCCAGGTCGGGGCAATGGGGTAAGCGAATACCCTGCACCCGGTGGGGGCAGTGAGATTTGGGTCTGAAATGCGTTTTCTGCGTTAACAACCAGATGGCCCCCAGCGATGTGGCCGGGCCCTCACTGCTCACCTTTCCTCAGCCGTGCCATCTGCTTGGCATGAGAATAGGCTGTGACACTCGGGTGCCCCCAGGGAAACATCCCTGGCGGTGGCAGTTGCTAACGAGCAGGCATAAGGGACTCTGCTCCAGTGAGCACGCCCTCTTGAAGCCATTGCTGCTGCCTGCAGCACTGGGGACTAAAGGGGCCTTTCTCTAGGTCTGGTCAGCCCAGGTCCCTGCTGAGACCTCGGACTGCTGTGTGGAGGCCCAAGCACTACACTGCCGCCGCCACCACAGGACTATGTCCAGGATGCTGGGGCTGGCCCTGCTGGCTTTAGCCGGCACCACCACCGTGGGCCTGAGCTGGGCCAGCGGCTTCACAGGTGAGGATGCCAGGCTGGTGTTCTGGGGAGGGGCTCCTGGGAATGGTTCTAAGGATAGCACCTTTGGGGATGTAGACAGGCTGGGGTGGGCCTGCTCTTGGCCAGCCAGGCTGTCTGAGGCCACATGCAGCAGCAGGCCAAGGGGGTAGGCAGGAGGCTATCTGTGTGTGCTCCCCAAAAGAGGGCTCCTCACTTCAAGCGAGTACCCTTGCATGCTTGGGGAGCTGCAGGGGGATCAAATGTGGAATCCTTGCCAGCAGGTGAAAGAAGGACCTGGGACTGTATTTCTGCCGACTTGGCTGTGGCTGGGTGTGAGCTCTTGGAAACACAGAGGCTGGATCTCCCGAACCTTGGGCATTAGCATCCTTGAGGATCACAGGGAGACCAAAGTGGCTGGGACGGCCAATGTCACATAGCTCCTGAGTGAAGAATCCCTACCCCAGGGCCTGGGAGCAGCTGGAAGTGCCAGGCGGCAGCATATGGTCCGCAGAGCGGCTGTTAAAAAGCACCCAGGGCCAGTGAGGGTGTGGCTCAGTGGCACAGCACTCGCTCCAAACACTTGGGGACCCCATTCTGTCCCTGCAGCTGGGAAACCAAACTACTCCCTGCCCCCATACTTTTTTGAGATGGCAAAACCGAGAAACCACTTTCCTCTTAAAATCACCCTCATTCAGTTAGGAATTTAAAGAGATCCATTTTGCCTCTACAGGCAACTTATTTTTGGACCAGTTTAATATTTTTTTCCCACTAGAGTGGAATTTTATTTCTGCTCTGAGTGTTCTGAGCAGTATTGCGCTGGGGGGTAGTGTGCATCCTGCAACTCTGCACTGCTGAGGGGGTGGGAATGTTGGGGGTCAGCACTCCTGGAAGAGTCTCATGAGCCAGGGCTGCACCCTACTTGTACCTGGTCCCGAGAGCAGAGGTCCTGGGTAGAATTTGCACTGAGCACCAGGACTGGCCCACAGGTAGAGCTTCCTGATCCTTTTCTAGGTTGGCATAGCAACTGTTTCACCAGGGACACGGCAGGGACACAGAGAGGGAACAACTCATGCTTCCCTGTGGGTCCAGCTGGGCCTCCAGCATGGGAGTGGCCTGTTGTCTGTTGTCCCCAAAGGGCTGTCCCAGCGTGCTCTGGGCAGGGCTGGAGGCCCCCATGAGGTTGGGGTGGGAGTGTGTGTGTACTGCTGAGGCTGGGCCCTGGCTGGCTCAGCCTCTGGGACCAGAATCCAGGGCAGGGTCTGCCAGAAGGTACCAGCCCTGGGCTTGGGGCTGACACCTGGCCTCAGGAGAAGGTGGAAACAAAGCCTGCAGACACGTCCCGGCCTCCCCGGAGAGGTGGAGGGTACACATGCGCCTATGCGAGCAGGAGGCTCTGCTCAGCTGGGGCCCTGCAATGAGCAGAGGAGCCCGGAGGCTCTCGGGGATCTGAGGCCATGACCTTAGAGGCCTCCTCCCCAGCTGGGTGGAAACATCTAGATCTGCCTCCCTGGTCCCCACACCTGTGACTCTGCCTTGCTCATCATAAACCACTACCCTATTCCTCCTGCCTTTTCTGCCCTTCTCACCTGGGCACCCCTGGGCTTCTGCCACACCTCATGGGACCAGGCCCCATTCCCGTCTAGACTATCCCATGACCAGCTTTGCTAGGGGTGAGCGGTGGCAACCGCACCACAGAGACACAGCTGACTCCTTGTGTGGCCAGGACACCGTGGCTCTGGTGGTGATGGCTAATGAGGAGCTCGCTCCAGGCAGCCTGGGACTCAGCACTGATATCCACCCACAGTAGCCCACTATGTAGCCCTGGCTGACCTTGAACTCTCAATGATCCTCCTGCCTCAGCCTCCCTGGTGCTGGGATTGCAGGTGTGTGCCATCACATCCAGTTTTTTAAAATTTTGAGACAGGGTCTCACTGAGTTGATAGCTGTGCAGCAAGGGCTCAGGCTTGCAGTCCTCCTGCTTCAGTCTCCCAGAGTGCCAGGGTTGTAGGCGTACATCACTGTGCCTGGCTTCTGCTGTTTGTTTTCCATTTTTTAGCAGTCTTGGACACGTCTTGGCTCGTGGGGCATTGTGAGCTCTGCTTTCATCTCCACCTGGCCATTTTCCCCTTGTTTGGGCACCTTGCCTCCAAACTCCATGGCCATAGGGGAACCACACCTCTGACCTCATTTTAATGCAGCGACCTCTGTGGACCTGGGGCCCTAGGGTCACGTTCCGAGTTGATCCCAGCATCTTCTGGAGGGATGAAATTCTAGCAGTTTCTGTGACGTAAGGTGACAGAGACACCCTGGTGGTGGGGGTGGACCAGGATGAAGAGGTATAGAGATAATAAATCCCACCAGGGCTGAGTTTCCCCGATAGAATGATCACACTGATGAGGGGTGGGAGACATTTGTCACAAGAGTCAGGCTCCAGAAAGGGGGTGTCCAGGCCCTTGAGGGCAGCCTGATGCTTGACCTTCAGTACAGCAGGGGTGACCATGCTCTCCTTCAACCAAGGACAGTGGTCCCAGCCAAGCAACCTTTATTATCTATTTTTGAATGTGCCCAAAAATATGGTCTGTGTTTAAATAAATATTACAGTAAACACATATTGCCGTGAATCCCCTTCAAACTCCCCTAGTTTGAACACACTCACCCCACTGTCCCTGCCACTTCCTGCAGCAGCTCTGGAGTCCTCTTTCCTGAGGATCTTTAGTGGCACTGTCCTGGCTGCCTTGATGTCCCGAAACCATTCCTAATGTTTCCTTGTCATGGTCATTTTGACTTTGGGGAGGAGCCAGGAGTCCCACGGTGCCAGGTTCAGTGACCAAGATGGATGAGGATGCAGCGTCCTGTTTTTACAAGCTTGTCTTTCCGCTGGATGGCACAGGGCAGCAGCTTTTACCGTATTTCTGATCGTACCTCATAGAGATCCTCAGGAAAGAGGACTCCAGAGCTGCTGCAGACAGCGGCCAGGACCCCGGGATAAGTGTGAGTGAGGTGAAGGAGAGGATGGGGGCCTGTGTTTATCACTGTAGCAAATTTTTAATTTAAACATTCACCCTACGTTCCTATTCCTCTCCTGGGTTCTAAGTATCTGTCTGCTTCCACTCCTTCCTCCAGTGCTGTCACTGTTGGCCTCAGGTCCACAGTGGGCCTGCAGGGTAATACAGGTTCCCTCCCATGTGGCCGGCCAGTGCAGGCTTGTGGGGGACAAGATGGGACCAGATACACCGAGTCTACAGCTCAGAGCCGGGGTGGACTTTATTCCAACCCTGGTTCTGTCTTTGGGGTCTCCGTTGTCAGAGACCCAGGCCATGGGAAGCAGTGTTGGGCTGGGTCTGCGGGCACCTCCTGGCTTCAGAAGAGCCATTTCTGGGGAGGCAGGGCCATGTTCATGTGATCGAGGTGACACCCAGGCTAGAGGTGTCCAGGCCCAGAGAGTTCGTGTCTCGGCCTTTGGGGAAGGAGGGTCATCCTTGGAAACTGCCTGGGTCTGACTCCCACTGTCCCCTGGCCCCCAGAGACTGGTCTCTCCTTGCTGAGCTACCAGCTGTGCAGCTACCAGGAGACCCGGACCGTGCAGCGGTTGGAGGCAGTGCAGACGTCCCACGTGACACACGTGGCCTGTGGTGGCTGGATCCTGTGGCGGTGGTGCCCCAAGACCATCTACAGGACCCAGTACCTGACTGTGGAGGTGCCTGAGTCCAGGAACATCACCGATTGCTGCAAGGGCTATGAGCAGCTGGGCCTCTATTGCGTCTTGCGTGAGTCCAGGGAGGGCCTGGGAAGGGAGGAGGGGCCCCTGGGGTGTCACCAGGCAGGTCCTTCTCCCTTGACTCCTGACTTCCCTCACACTGAGGCACATCTGCAGGTGGTGACCGTCCCCAACCCAACATCCGATATGTGGGTTGGAGTGGAGCACATGAAGCGGCCTTCCCATCCCACTCCAGTGACCCTGTGCAGCTGTCCTTGCCCTGGGCTGAGGTCTCTTCATCCTGGGAGTTGACTGAGTTCCAGGGCCCCTGGGCAGCTCTGAACATGTGGGTTCCTGGCCCCATCTAGGGCTGGAGTTGATCTGGGCAGCGCTGGGGCCCTGGTGACCTCGGAGAGCTCCTGTGGGGACCCCAACATGCAGGGCGGCAACCTCCACCAACAGCCTCCACTGCAAGCTGTTTGGCAGTGGCATTTTTTCTTTTTCTCCTCCTCTTCTTCCATTTCCATGGTGCTGGATTGAGCCCAGGGTTTTCCTGCTGGGTTAAAGTTAAGAGACAGGATCTTGCTAAGTCACTGTGCCACTTCCCGCCCAAGGCTCCCAGGGTGCCAAGGTGACAGGTGTGTCCCCCCTGACCCCGCCTTTTCTTCTTAAAGGCTATAGCCACCACCATGTGGTCTCAGCTGCGATCCTAACCAGAGACAGCCTGGCCCTAGACCCTGGCCTCCTGCGAACTCAGCAGAGTCCAAGCTGCTGCTGTGAATGGCAGGGCCTGGTTACCAGGGCAACTGGCCTTTGTCATGGAGAGGACCCTGTGATGACCTCTTCAGGGAAGGCTCTGAAAGAGCCGTGTGGGTGGTGCTTTGTTACTGTGAGTCAACACCAGATCAGATCAACCCTGTACAGACAGAAGGCCCTGCTTCCCTTCACCGCACAGGGAGGCAGGGGAGGGGCCAGCTGGGAGGGCCACCACTCCAGACTGCAGACAGTGCTAACAGAGGTGGCGAGTGGAACCCCCCTGGGCAGTGGGTGACACCCTGAGCCAGGGTCCACAGGTCGCAAAACCTTGGTGTCAGCACAGACCTGCAGGAGGCCAGCAGGCCACACCTTCCCACATGTGCCCTCCTCCAGGCCCCAGGCGATGCCACTGAGGTCCTGGGGGGTTATGGGGGGCCCTGGTGGTGAGAGCAAACAGTGAACCATGTAGACCATCAGACTCGAGGTTAAAGGTCACCATACTCACCATCAGTAGTCCCACCTCCACTAGGAGGAACGGATGGGGTGGCTGACGTCAAGCAATGGCCACTTTGTGTCCCTGCTGCCCCCCCCCCCAGGGGTGTAGTGGCACAGGCAGGCTGTGTCCTGCCCGTGTTTGGTCCCGGGAGTCCATTCCTGTCATGACTACTGTCTTCTTTTCACTGGCCCAATCTCAGATTGTGGGCACCTAGGGGTGGGCCAGCGGCAAGTAACCAGGACCCACACTGGGAGTGAGGGAACTGGGCCTGGGGTCTAAGCCAGGTTCTCCAAAGTGCACGTCCATAGGCAAGAGCTTGAGGAAGGTGGTGGGCAAGGGTATGTGGGGGACATTTCAGGGTGCTGAGGACTCTCAGGTTGTCCCTCAGGAAAGAGCCCTGAGCTGTGTGGGGCTGGGTGCTGTGTGAGCCTTGAGGCTCCTCGAGGCCCAGTGCAAGCCCCTGTCTGCCGCAGGGAAGTATTTGTACCCTGGGTACAGGCAGCACACTGTCCCCGTCGGCCTCTGCTTTTTGGGCTTTTTTTGGAGACACCTGGTGACTGCCGGGCCACGCAGAGCTAGAGATGCCACCATCCAAGAACTGAGGCTCCAACTGGTTTAGAGCAAGGCGATGCTGGACCCAGCAGACACTGGGGAGTACGGAGAGGGCCTAAGACCCACTCTGCTCTGCGCCGGACCCAGCAGACATCGGGGAGTACGGAGAGGGCCTAAGACCCACTCTGCTCTGCGCCGGACCCAGCAGACATCGGGGAGTACAGAGAGGGCCTAAGACCCACTCTGCTCTGCGCCGGACCCAGCAGACATCGGGGAGTACAGAGAGGGCCTAAGACCCACTCTGCTCTGCGCCGGACCCAGCAGACACTGGGGAGTACGGAGAGGGCCTAAGACCCACTCTGCTCTGCGCCGGACCCAGCAGACATCGGGGAGTACAGAGAGGGCCTAAGACCCACTCTGCTCTGCGCCGGGGTGTCCACACTACCCAAGGCCGGTGACCCAAGACTCAGCCTCCCCATGCCATGATGCAAATGCTGGTTTCCTCCTCCTCCTCTTTCCTACCCACTTAGAAGGGGAGGAGGCCGGGAACACTCATGTGCGTAACTTCCGGCGGTGAGTCCAGCCCTCGGGGTGTCACAACAAGCCACATGTGAGTTAGTTTGGAACATGGAATTACAGAAGCGGACCTGAAGCCTCCCCTGACCACAGCCCTGGTCAACGTGCCCCCCATGACAGAATGGTGACCCCAGTTAGGACCCACTTGATTACCTGCCCAGCTCTGCTTTCCTGCCAACCACGGTCTGTCCTCCCCGGGACTGGGCACTGCCACGTGCAGAGGAAGCGATGCGTGGAAGCTGGTCTGGGGACACAGCCTGCGCTTTCTTTCTATTGGAATAAAAACTTGGCTCCCAGTAATCATAGACTCCCACTGTGCTTCCACCAATGGCTTTTCTCTGGGACCTGGAGACATTCGTTCTATGGCCATGTGGGCACCCAGGAAATGAAGCCATGCTGAGGACAGTGGGCAAGAGGACATGGCCAGTATGAAGCTCCACATGCAGGACTGGCAGTTAGAGATGGGCAGTGAGAAGCTGCCCAGCCGTGTCCCCTCACCTGCCTGGGACGATGCTGCCCACCAGGGACTGTGTCCCCATGGCAGTGAGAGCCTCTATCCTCTCTTCTGGCTGCAGAGCCTTCTATGGACTCTCTCTGGGGCTCTCGGACTGCCTCACCTTCATGGTTGTGTTGGTGTGGGGCTCTTGCTGTCCCTGTCTGATCTCTCTGGTGTTCAGGGGTCTGGAGCCATGCCCCCGCATGTTCTCAGGGTCTCTGGTAGACATGCATTTCAGATGTGCCTGGGGAAGGACCCAGATGGGCCCGAACAGACCCTCTGGGCCTCGAACCTGCTGCTGGGTGCTGGGCATGGGCTGGTGCTGGGTCCCCTTTCTCATGCCGCTGTCTGCCCAGAGACCTCCCCCCAGCCTCTCCATCGGGGCTGAGCTTCTGCCTGCTCTGAGCCAGCTCATCCAGCCTGAATGTCCCAGTCCTCCAGCCCAGCTGCCCTGAGCTTGACTTAGACTCCGCTCCTGGCAGTGTATCCCAGGAAGGGTGCCTCTCCCTGGAGAGTCTGCCCTGGGCTTCACCTTCTCCTCTCCTCCTCCTGGTCCTTTTTGTGCCCCGGAGCAGCAGCGCTGGGACCTCTGGCCAGTTCCCCCATGGGTTCTGTGACTCTCAGATTCTTCCTGCCCTTTGCTTTTTGGTATTGTTGAATCAGGGTCAGATTATGTAGTTTAGGCTGATCTTGAACTCACTATGTAGTCCAGACTGGCCTCAAATTTATGACATTCTCTTGCCTCAGCCCCCAGAGTGTTGGGGTAATGGGTGTGCATGGCCATGCGTGGCTAGGCCTCTCTAAGAATACCTCCCTAAGCCCTTTTCCTCAGAACTCACCACAGTCTCCCTAGTTCCCAGCCCAGGTCCTGGTGGTCATCAGGGCCGCCACCCTCACAGGTGATTCCAGGGTCTCAGGCCTGGTGCCTCATGGTTCCTGCACCCTGATTTCCTGGGGTTGCCTCTGGCCTCATCTACCCAGAACATTTGCAGGCTGCCGGGCCTCAGCTGACCCTTGATGGAAAGTAGGGTGTCAGGTTGCTGCAACTGCTGTGTACCGTGGGGCTCCTGGTCCTCACAAGCTGCATTCCCCCGGGAAGGGACATGGACAGCCTGGGTGTCCCAGTCTTCCTGCCCAGCTGCCCTGAGCTTGACCTGGACTCCGCCCCTGGCAGTGTAGCCCAGGAAGGGTGCCTGCTGGCCTTGGAGCTGCCACTCCCTGTACCCTCTGCCCCCAAGCCACCAGCTGGCCCATCCTTACACACCCAGGCTGACCCCCTAGACTCTTCCACCACCCACCCCAGGCACAGGGGCCTCTCGTGGCAGCCTTCCCTGCCCTGCCATATCCCTGGTGCTGGCAAGGCCTGGTGTCAGTCCCAGCTGGTCATAGGCACTCCAGACAGATGCAAGCCCAGGTGCGGTGCCCACGTGGCTCCTCAGGGGCATTGCTGTCCCAGCACTGTGCCCTGTCTCATCTCCCTCAGCACTGAATTGGTCCATGGAGTTCACATCAAGACCTGGGGTCTGCCCGACAGCGAACCCAGAGACACCCATCTCCCCATGCAGCTCGGATAATGACTGCCCTGGACTCCAGAAGTGCTGTCCCCGGCCAGAGGGCCACCACTGTGTGGCCCCTGTGTCCCAAGGTAAGGCTGCCACGAGGTCCAAGGAAAATCTGTCACAGGGAGGCCGCACTGGGAGGTGGACCTGTTTGTCCCCAGATGTCGTGCTTGGAGCCCCACAGGAGGCTGCCCTGGGGTGGGAGACCCTCCTGGTAGGCAGAGAATATAGTGACCTGATGTCCCAGGTCACCTTGGGAACAGCAGTGGGCTCTCGGGTAGCCACGTCCTCGGGGGCCAGGTGGCTACTCTGCAGGCATCTCAGACCCTGGCATTCTCCCCACAAGCCCCACAGGCAAATGCTGGCCAGCCTGGCATGCGTGTCCAATGGCTGGAAGGTTCTCCTGACTGGGCACTGGGCAATGGTCAGACGAGGAGATGTGGAGCACAAATGCCAGGGCTGCTCGGAACATACAGAGAAGGCGTCAAATGGAAACGTGTCAGAGTAAAAGACGGAGAGCTGCCGAGTCCCGCACCACCCTGCCCTCACTTCCTGGGCACTCGGCCTGTCATCCTGGCTGCCTTCCGCAGCAGCTCAGCAGTGCTCTCTCCTGAGGGTCTTTACAAAGCGTGACCACAGCCGCGGTCAGTGCTGCTGCCCATGCCATCTGAAAGGAAAGCAAAGCGCTAGGACAACGCAATTAAGACCCTGGGGAGAGAGGACTCCAGAGCTGCTGCAGAAAGTGGCCGGGAGGTGGGAGGAGTGTGTGAGGCAAGAAGCATTTGTAGAGGATTAAGGGCAGCAGCCTTTAACCGGGAGGCACTCTTAGGGTTAAGCACTCCACACCCTTTCGATCAGACCCCACATACGTACACGTCACCTGTGACACATAAGGTCATGCTGGTACCCTGTATCTCATAAAGAACAGTCGAAATGAACCCATAGTACTGTGAACTTCTGCTCCAGCGTGCAGCTAGCTCCCCACATCCATGGGTTGCATGTGAACGCTTCACCATTTTACAGTAAGGCTCTCGAACCTGGGTAGATTCTGACATCCCTGGAGAGTTCTAGAATCTGTTCACTAGAGACACCGTAAAACTACACACACGCTTATTGCATGCGCTGTATACAGGTCTGCCAAATGGTGTATGCACACCTCAGGAAAAGAAAACACGTAACCATTTTAATACTATGCTTGCTGAGACGGCATGAGATTCCCACAAGTTACCTTCGGGCTCTGCAGTCGCGAGGAGCCCACGGTGGTGCCCATTCGCCCAGACGTTTCTTAATGCGGGAGCTGCTGCTTGGGTCACCTGGTCACTGCGGCTGCTGCACGTGTGGCTCAGTTTCTTCCCAAAGACCAGCAGCATAGCGGGTTTTCCGTGGTACATGATGCACCCTAGGAGGCCGCAGGGATAGCACCGTCTGTGGAAACACAGCCTGCTTTTTTCTTTTCCTGAAATGTGTGTACATTTTTTGGGTGGACTCCGTGGTATTACTATGCTCTAGTCTAATAGGTAGTCAGAAAGTAACAGTATAAACAATACCAAGTATTTTACTGCTATGCCTGTCTATTGACCTGCATGTTATGAGACACAGTATCTAAATGTTTCCCATCATACTCTGCAGCCGGTACACACAAAATTCCGTTTCCTGGTATCTAGTATGGTACATAGTATACAATATGATGATAATAGTAGAAATGACAGGCTAGTGTATAGTGACCCTGGACATCCATGTCACATTCCATGGCAACAGGATTACAAGATGACTGACCTCTCGCTAGTCCAGGACTGTCCCCCATGTAGTCACAGACATCAAGGAGGGAGTGACCGCCGCCTTGGGGACCCTCCATTGCCCATTGTAAGGGTTTTATGGTTTCCTGGCTGCCAGGCTGGTTGCTCCCCGCACCTGAAGGCCCCTGGTGGCCCTGCTCTGCCCTAGTGGGCCCCTTTGTACTTTCCTTCCAGATGCAGGTGCTGTGGCCGAGGGGCGCCCGACGAGCTGGTACAATGTGACGGTGCGGGTGAAGATGGACTTCACGGACCTGAGCCGAGTGGACCCAGAGCTCCAGAACCACACGCGTCTGCTCTGTTCCCTGGTGCGTGCAAGGTGTTGTGTGCTCCTTCCCAGAAGCTTCCCCAGGGACCCCTAGTGTGGTGGGAGGGGGGCGTCCTGCGAGTGGGCCCCAGGCCCTGGCTCTGAACCAACACAGATGCTAGAAACACTCAGCTGGCCACATTCAGTGAGCACTGTGCCGCGGGAAGCTCAGGGACTCTGGGGCTGTGCTTGGTGCTGCCTCCGCCCTGCCACCAATTCCTAGAATCCTCACCCAGTCCCACACCAGGGAATTCCACTCCGTCCTGCACATGGCTGGGAGGGAGCCCCACAGCAGGCTGTCCACATGCTGCAGTCCTCCTGAGGGGTGCTCACAGGGTCAGCAGAGTCCCCCAGCTGCAACAGCCCCCAGGAACAAAGCTGACTGGCAGATAGCGCTGGTGAGGGAGGCTGCCCACACTGCTGGACGTGTGCCCCGATTTCCAGCCAGGATATCCCCAACATCAGCATCACCCTCAGATTTGGGACTCCTGGTGTAGCAGGGTTGTCGAAGCTGCCCCCTGGCCCTGGCACGGTCTGCCCTTGTGGGTCTGCTGCCTGCGCTCCACCTGCATGAGCTCAGTGAGTTCCTGGTCCTGAGCACGTCTGGGTGCTGGCCTCTGTGCAGGGACCTGGCTGCTGTTGGGCCCCCTGCCTGTGAGGCTACTCACAGCTCCCCTTTGCCCAGGAGCCTCACTAATTTCCTCCACCCTGAGCGATTTCTGTTCTTTCAGCTTGTTGAGGGGCTGCTCCATTGACCAGTGAGAACAGGGTTCTGGGATCTGATCCCAGTGTTGCCCTTCATCTGCTGTGTGATCTCGGGCTTGTGACCTAAGCTCTCTGTTCCTTAGACACTTCTTCCAGTAAATAGACATCATTGTGATTCTGCTGTCAGGATCCCCGTGACATGGTCCCCGTGAGGTGCTCACCAAGGCCCCTGACAGATCTGAGAGAGCTGAACACCACTGTCTCCTCCCGAGCCTTCTGTCCTGGGAGCGAGCTCACCCCGCAGGGTGCTGGCAGTGGCAGATGTGGTCTCCTGCATCCTCCTGGGGCTGGGGCTCCCACATGGCCTGGCAGATTTCTGCGCTGTCTTCCAAATCCTTATACTCTCTCCTTTGTTTCTCTGCAGAGGCCAGGGTAGCTTAGCAAAGTCTGCTTTGGTTCTGGACGTGTAGTTTCTACTGTGCCTGGCTTCCTGGGACTGAGGGCCAGGAAATCAGGTGGCAAGGAAGAATGGGTGACATGGGCACACTCTGACACTGCTCCTCCAGCTCTGGTTCCCGTTCCTCTGTCCACAGCTCCAAGGATCAGCCTGGGCTGCGTGGGTGGGTGGGGTCCTAAGGGTCCTGGAGGTGATGGCTGTACGAATGTCCTGCAGTCACCACCACAGTCACCAGTCCGGGCGAGTGGGAACAGACTGACCCACAGTGCTGGGGCTAGAAGGTCTGAAATCAAGGTACTGGCAGAGCTGGCTCCTTCTGGGGGCTCCAGGCCCCCCTCGGTGGCCTGGGACAGCCATGCTCCTTTGCATCTTCCCTCCCTTGGGTGTCTATCTCTCTGCCCGAGAATCCCCTTGTGTGTGAACACCAATCCTCCTGGATCCAGGCCACCCTAATGAGCTCATTTGGCTGCATCTGCCGCAAAACTATTTCCAAATAAGGGCACATTCTAGGATGCCAGGGGTCAGGGCTTTGGTGCACGAACTTTGCTCAGGGGTACGGTTTAGCCAACAATAGCTGAGGTTGCAAAGGCTTAGGTGACTTTGGCCTGCAGAACTCCTACACGGACGCTGGTGGACGTAACACCAGAGCTGCTCTTCCTGCAGAGTGACACAGTGTGCGCATGTGTGCGCCGTGGTCCCAGCTCCTCCAACCTCAGCCTCCTTGTCTGTCTGAGGTGGGCACCCTGCTGCTTATTTGATGCCCTCCTTCCACCTTCACAGGTGGCCAGTGCCCTGCAGCCACTGGACTCCAGTGTCCACTACTTGGACTCTGCCAGCGGGGGCCCCTCCTCCACAGTGTCAAGGCTGCTGCTGGGCCTGCCTCGGCCGCTGGTGGTGGTCAACGTCTCCACTGTGCTGGACGACATCCCGAGGCGCGTGTGCGAGGTGACCAGCATCCAGGTGCAAGGTTCGTCCTCCTTGGGATCTGCAACTGGGCCAGGCAGCCTGGGTGCTTATGGGCTCTGAGGCTGCCCAGGCCTGCATATGCTGAGGGAGGCCAAGCACAGGGCACGGGACCCTGGCTTGCACAGTCTCTGCCCGAGCACAGAGGCAGCCTCGTCCTGGGAAGAAACTACCCGGTTGCCTGTTGAGATTTTCTTCGGTCCCTGTCAGGGGTTGGCACCCATGTTCTGGCAAGTGCCTTGTGGGCCATGCAGCCCCCATGCCAATAGCTCAGCTCCACCTCTGCAGCATAAAGTGGCCACTGAGGCACAAGATCCAGCAGCTGGGGCTCTGAGCTGTGCCACCCCAGACAGGTGCAGCCCGCTGCTCTCAGCAGGTTTTGCTCTTGGTCTGTGACCTTGCAGGTCACACACAACGGTGCCAGGTGTGGAACAAGTTTCTGGGGCTGGCATTTGCCTTCCTCCAAGAGCTAGAGACCAAGCCAGGTCTTTGGAGGAGTTCAGGGAAGAGCACGTCTTGCCCTGTTTGACTGTGCCTTCAACGGGTGGTCAGGGGACCCCAGGGGCTGGGATCCTGTTACAGGCTGTGGCTTTGGAGGACTCCGTCCATCTCCCCTGCAGGAGGTGGGGACGCTGCAGGAAGAAAAGTGATCCTGGGTAGAGAGCTGAGTATCATGACTTTGGGCCCGGAGAAGGGGCTGGGCTGGGCGGCTGACACAGCCACTTGTTTGCACCTGCACTAAGATGCAACCTTTGGGTGGTCTCGCCGTGCTTCCCTCACCCTGGACGCAGAGCGGCTACATCTGAGGTTGTGCTTTGGGATTCATCCTTGGGTCTCATGGCCATGCAGATCCCCAGGGGCCCTGGGTGATTTGCTCAGTCCTGGTCGAGGACAAGGGACGGGTTGGGGAGTCTCATCAGCCTCTTCTTCCACAGATGTGGATGAGTGTGCCCACCGCGCACTGCATGCCTGCTCCATGGGGCAGCAGTGTCTGAATCTGGAAGGCTCCTACCGGTGCGTCAGTGCCGAGGACCCAACCTCGTCTCCCCAGCCACTGAACCACACGGGTGAAGGTAATGCTGGGCTCTGGACTGGTGGGATGGCCTGGGGGTCCTTCCTAGGCCTGATCTCAGGGTAACTGAGACTTCTTCCTCTTCCAACAAGGACCGCTGGCTCCTGTTCAGTGTGGGTGCTGGGTTCTCTGGGCTGCACGGGGCTCCTGGCCAGCCCCCCTTGTGTAGAGCTTTGGTGTATTTGGTGCCCAGAGCCAGGTGCTGGGGACAGATGCATGTGAGTAAGCCAGATGGCTCTCTGGCCACCTGAGGCCTGTTTCGAGATGGCCTTGTCCTCTTTGGTGGTGCAGGGATGACAGGGACACATTCCTGTTTATGCTGCACCCTCTGTGTCAAGGGAAGCCTCCAGGAAGCAACCTGGCACCTGTGATGGTGCTTTTCAGCCGTGGTACAGTGGTGCCCTCAGCTGTTTCCTGTGGGCTCCTGCCCACTGCAGTTGGGACACTGCTGTGACTGTGCCAGCTGTCACATCAGAGTATGGATTAGAGAATGCCCAGGGTGACCCCACGTGAGATTGGTCTCTTTTCCCTCTAAAGGGACTCCAAAGGAAGGGGTTCACATCTCTGCTCACTGCCAAGGGCCCCCCACATTCCGAGACAGGCATGGCAGGGGGCGTTCGTCACTGCATAATGTTGCTGTGTGTCTGTCCCGACCTACATGACAGGGCTACACCCAGCTAAGCCCCTGGGCTTGGTGGCACAGGCACCCAAGCACATGTGGCCACCGTTGACTAAGGTATCGTCATGCAAAGCCTGACTATGTCCTGGAACAATGCATGAGGAAGGACTATGCCCGCTGAGAGAGGGCTCTCCAGGGCTAGGAGGAAAATAAAAGGCAGCCAGCAACTCAGCCCTGGCCCCGGACTGAGTCTGCACCATGGCGGCTTGCGCCTGGAGGGCCTGCCCGGGCTGCACACTCCTTCCGCACACACCCCCAGAGTCCCTCAAGGGCCTGCCGCCCCCCACAGCCTCCACAGTCTGCAGACTCCGGGGCGAAGATCTGTGTGCTTGGGAACACAGATTGGCTCCGTCATTTTTGGCTTCATCAGAGCTCTGACAGAATATTAGGCTTGGTCCCTAGGGGCCAAGGTTGCCAGCCCATCTCAGCCCGGCGCCCCAGCACCATGAGATGCAAACCCCTCCCAGGTCGAGGGCTGCAAGCTGGGCCGCTGGCATGCACAGGGCAGCCATACAGGGCCTGGCCACACTTCCAATGGCACCAACAGCCAGAGCCGGCTTCCAGAAGGGAGGGAGGCTCAGTGAATTCCGATCACAGGCTGCGGAGGGGGCAGCATGTGTTTTAAATTGAGACGCGGGTAGAAATGAGCAATGCTCTGGATTGAATACCTCAGAGGGACAGGCTCTTGGAAAATACAGCGCAAACTGGAGATATTTTTCCTGTGAAGTTAGTCACCTAATTAAAGCTACACAGGCAGCGAGATCCTCGAACAGCTCAGAAATGCGAAGTAACACTTTGGCCTATGCGCCTCACACTGCAGGACGTGGATGGCTCTGGGGACTGCGCCATCCCTGATGCGACTCTGCACCCAGCTGAAGGCTGCAGCTTTGCAGCTCTTCGAGGAGAGGCGTCCTGGGGCCTGGCAGTGCTGGGTGCCAACCTGTGGAGCCAGGGATTCCCCCACGTCCATGCCCTCGCTGTGACAGTTTCCCATGAGAGTCTAGGTGGGTCAAGCTTCACTGACTGTCAGGTCCCGGACTCTCTGCCGCCCAGGGCAGTGTCAGGCAGGCCTGGGGAAAGAAGACGAGAGCCACGGTCACGGGAGAGGCAGTGCCCAGCTCGAGCCTGCCCACGGGAGACAGGTCAGGGCCGCCGGGGGAGACACGAGCCACAGAGGCAAAGGCTCCCATGTGCTCCACCCCAAGAATCCAAGGGCCTGGGGCTGGGGTTCCCACACACAGGATTGGGTGTGTCCGGGAGGCAGAGGCAGGGGACTGCAGGACCAAGGCAACTTTGCATCTTAGCCAGACCCTGTCTTAAAATTTAAAAAAAGGAAAGATCTGGGGAGGCAGCTCAGGGGGAGACCCTGGGTTCAGTCCTCGACACAGTCTCTCTCTCTCTCTCAATTTCTCTCTCTCTTTCACATACACACACACACACACACACACACGCACCCCTCACGCCTGTCCTACAGAACAAAATTAGCCCGAATGTGGCAGAAGGGACTCGGTTTCTCAGCAGTACACATGGAACCCTCCCAGAGCTGTTCTGCTGAGCCATGAGGTGGCTGGCTGGAGACGTAAGACTTGGCAGAGGCTGGAGCGTCCCGTGGCCGCTGTGACAAAGCACCACCAGCCCTTGGCTCACACAGCAGAAACGTCAGCAGGGATCACGGGCCGTGCACGCCAAGGCTCCAGCAGGGCTGTGTTGTCTTCGTTCCTGCCTCTGCCTTTGGCGGCTGCCAGCGGCCCTTGGCTTGTGGCCCCTTCTCTGTCTCCAAAGCCAGCTTCTAGGCTCTCTGCACTCTTGGTCACAGAGCCTCCTCTCCCATGTGTGTCCCAGGTTCCCTCTGCCACTCTTTGATAAGGACACTTGGGATTGTATGTGGGCCACTGTAGACTGCCCAGGACGACCTTCCAATCTCAAGATCCTTGACTTGATCACACCTTTTCACAAATAAGAGTCCCAGAGATGAGGACCTGTTATCTCTGGAAGTCACTATGCAGACTCATGGCAGCAGGGTGGCTGAAGAGTAAAGCAAATGAACTTGTCTTGAGTTGTTAGACAACTTTGCCAGCTATGACCAGGCCTTTCCAGGCCTTGGTTTCATTTTCTGTAAAATGGGATCATGGTAGGATTAGTGCACCTGGCTTGTGCAGCCCAAGACAGCAGTGGCTGTGACTTTGTTGCCCACATCCTTGTGGACTGCTGCTCAGTCTGGCACTTGAGGGGCCGCACTCACCCCACTTCCCTGTTTCTAGAGTCTCCTGCCACCCTTCTTCTTCTACCAAGGTGGATTCAAACCCCCCGAGTCTCGTCTTCGTGGCACAGAAGCAGAACTGTTGGAGCTTTCAGAAGCTGTATATTTTGGTTTTAGAAAAAGGGTCTCTCTGTGTAGCTCAGTCTGGCCATGAGCTGACTGCGTAGCCCAGGCTGGCTTCAAACTCACAGCGATCCTCGTGCCTCAGCCTCCTGAGGGCTGGAGTGTGTGCCGTCTTGCCCAACTTCAGCAGAGTCTTGGAAGAGATGTCTCAGGCTTTCCTCCTTTCTGAGGGCCACATAAGCCACCCAGGCCAGAGGGAAGCTGCCTGGCCATGAGAAGGCCCGGCTTCTGATCCCAGGGTCCCTGTGGAGTTGGAGTGAGGCCCCGTGTCCAGGCAGTCTCTCAGCTGGAACCCTTTCTACTTTCCTTGTTGCAGAGAAAAATATCACAAAGAGTGAACAGCTGTGTCTGTGCCTATTTCTATGACATGCGGGAAAATATAGGACTGAGGGAAATCAGGTCTTTGTACTTCCCATGCCACTGAGGCAGGGCGTGTGGGCTTCCAGAAAGTTATCCCATCTGCTCTGAGGGGGCCTGCAAGGCTCACCATGGGAAACACATGCTCAGGAGCCTGAAGAAGACAGCTCGGCACCTGGTCAGCAGAGGACACGGCAGGCTGTGTGAGCTGCAGGACTGCAATTGGGCACGGGGCCCAATTCTGAGCCTCCTGGTAGCCAAGGCTAAAAGGGAACGTGCTGCACCGATTTGCTGTGGTCGTTTGTCTGTCCTGGTTTTTCCCGTGAAGTATACCCACGTGCTTGGAAAGATAGCGTTTTCACTGTACTAGAAAGCGTGTATCCTAGGATCCCTGGCAGGAAGGCCTTTGGGAGACCACACAGTTTGAAACTATTTATTCTTTACTGAGATTTTATAGAAGATATTTTTAAAGTTCCTTGTTGCTTTTTTTCTTTTCATTTTTGTAGCACCATGACTCTGATACACATTTTGGTGCCTTGACAGAACCGCCTGCTTTTCTGTGTGTGATTTCTGCTCCTGTACGCCTGCTGGGAGCGTGAATTCTCACCCAAAATAGTTTTCACTCTAGCGACTCCCAGAACAGAGGGTGGACAAGGCTGAGAACCGCACTTGGATAGTTTTTCCTGTGAGACAGGCGTCACTGTGCAACCCGGGCCCCCGAGATTCCCCACCCCAGCCTCTGAGTGCCACCAGGGCCAGCCACAGCTTGCTGTTGACCAGAGAGCACATGAGGGCCCCTCAGGAGACCCAGCCTGGCCCCCAGGCCTCTTCCGTTGGGGCCATTAGTGTGGTGTTCAGTCAGCGAGCAGCCAGTGTGGTGACAGTGACCAAGCAGGGGTGCAGACCGGCAGCCTGACCCTGTAGGGGCTGCCCCTGGGGACAGTGTGTGTGATGATGCCGTGGTCAGTCCCCAAGAGGGCACTGACATCCTGGTAACCACACAGCACCCATGGGGTGCGGCTCTGCGTGGTACAAACCTCGGCAGGTGTGGGGGTCAGCTCCACGCCAGCCTGGCTCCAGAGAGGCTAGGAGTCCGGATCGGGCTTGGCTTTGTTTTCTCCTTCCATCACCAACACTCTCATCTCACGGCAGCCCGGAGCTGCTTTCCAAAGGGGGTTTCCAGAAAAGAGGGCTGAGTTTGGTCAAACTAGGGGTTTGATCCTTTTTTTAAATTTTTTTGAGACAGGGTCTCACTGTGTAGTTCAGCTTGTCCTTGAGCTCACTTTGTAGCTCAGGCTGGCCTTGAACTTGCAGCGATCCTCCTGCCTCAGCCTCCTGAGAGCTGGGATTACAGGGGTGTGTTATTACGCCCGGCTGTGCTTTGATTCTTAATCATGAAGATGTGAGTTTTGCCCTTCATGAAGATGTGAGTTTTGCCCTATGCTGGTCACTGTGGGTGACAAGCCAGGCTTCTGGTGAGGACGCCACCACAGCATCCTCTTCTCTGCTCCCCCAGACTGTCCTCCCATCCTGGACCATGTGGCCCTCAATGTTACCAGTAGCAGCTTCCAGGTGTCCTGGAGTGTGGATCCTCCCCGGAGCCGTGATTTCCACGTGCAGGTATTCCGGGGTGAGCAGCTGCTCCAGAGCGCCTGGACCAGTGGCCTGGCCCTGCAGGTGTCAGGCCTGGATGCTGGGGAGCTGTATGTGGTGAGGACCAGCTACCAGGGCTGCAGTGCCAACATCTCCACCATGCTGACCGTCAAGACAGGTAAGTTTCATCGGAAACGGTCACCTCTGAGATTGTGCTTCTGCCCTCGGTCTCCGGACCCAGTGCATCATTCCTGTGACTAGGATGGCAGAGTTGGCTGTCCACAGCACACTCTCTACCCTGGGGGCATCCCACGCATGGCCTCTCGTGGCCTTGGTGTCCTTGTGTCTCTTGCCTGGGGTTCACTGTGACATCAGTGGTGATAGCCCACAGGCTGTCCAGGGCCTGTCTCCCCATCATCCGAAGCACATATGGGGTGTGGTCAAAAATGCAAATGCTTAAATTCTTAAAAAGGATCGAGGTGAAAACACACTGCCACGAATCCACCTCAAACACTCCCCCTCTGCACACTCAGCCTGTGGTCCTGGATGCTTCCTGCAGCAACTCGGGAGTCCTCTCTCCTGAGGGGCTTAACTCAGGCTGCCCTGGCTGCCTCCATGTCCTGAATGTATTTAAAGTGTTTCCTCTCATGGTCACTTTGACTTGGGGTGGAGCCAGGAACCACAGGGTGCCAGGTCCAGTGACCGAGGAGGATGAGGACGCGGCGTCAGGATCTCACGAGCTGCCTTCTTGCTGACTGGTGCTGGGCAGCAGCCTTCACCGTGTTTTTGATCACACCTTATAAAGACCCTCATGGACACACAAAGCCCTCGATTTAGTTCTGGTTTCCCAGGGTCTCACCTTACTGTCTGGGGACAAGGGGAAGGGACTCTTTTTTCCCCTGGGGGACATGAGGCCAGAGAAGGAGTCCCTGACTTGAAAATCATCCTGTGAGCTGATGGCCCTGTTATATGCCCCACCCCCTGCGCCCCCCCCCCCCCCCCCCGGCAAGGGCAACACACTCCTTCCCAGCTCACCCTGCTGCCCTCTCTATGGGGACGCATAATGGGGACCTGCAGCCTCCGTCCCCCACCCTGCACCCCACACCCTCGGGAGGGCGCCTGCAGCCCCCGCCGGAGAGGGGTGAGTCAGCTGGTCTGTGATCAGCCTTGATTTCCTTTCCTTCTCTGCGTTGCGAAGCTACCTTTGGTCAGGAGGCCCTGTGGGCGCTCTGTGCCCTTTAAAAGGCTTTTCCAATCTGACCTCGTGGCTCTTGTGCCACTAGGTGGTGGGGGTGACCGCTGCAGCCCTCACCAGCGCCTCACGGGGAGCCAAGGGCACAGGTGGTGCTGGGCGTCCCGGGGCCCAGTGACTGAGCCTGCGACCCTGACTGATCCAGGCTATGTGGTCCTGATCTCCCACTGAGACGGGGTCTGGGGTCCCAGCCCGGGGCAGGCAGCAGGCGGCAGGCAGGCGGCAGACAGCGACCTGCTTCCAGGCATCCCTTCCTGGGCTTCCCGGGCCTGCTTTGAAATGCGAAGTGGAGCTTGCCATGACTCCTGTTTTGTCTCCGAAACCGGCTTTGTTAGTCCGTGTGGGCAGCATGCGGTGTCTCCGTTCCCCCATGGAACTGGTGTGTGGACGGCATGCCTTCCCCTCCTGTCCCAAACCCTCCACCAACTCTCGGTCCATCTCCATCTGAGGAAGATCCGTCTCCCTGCTTCCCATGAGCTGTCTTTTTACTTCACTCTTTATTTATGATCTGAGTTTCTCCTGTAAGAGGAATCATGCAGCGTGGCAGCATGACTGTCTCATCCACCTCACCTAGCCTGGTGCTCTCAAGGTGCCTCTGTTTCCCCACAGATGACTCCTTTGTGCTTCTTCGTGGCAGAGTAGGACTCCATGGTGTGTAACTACCACACTTCCTTTATCCCTCTACCTGCGATGGACCTCTAGGCCGCCTCCAAGATTGAGCTGCTATGAGCTGAGCTGCTGTGAGCCTGGGCACTGGCCTGCGGTGTCTTTTACTCTTTTGGAAAGTTACCCAGAAGGGAGTAGCTGGCTCCAATGGCGTTCTAGTCTTAGGCTTTTGAGGACTCACCCTGCTGAGTCCCCTCATGGCTGTACAATCCCTCTGGTGGAGTAGCAGGACCTCCCCACGCAACCCCTCCCGCATTTGCTATTAAGTCGTCTCTCGGTGGTGGCCATTCTTTCTGGGCTAAGGCGGAATCTCAGCGCTGCTGTAATGCACATTTCTGTAATGACCTGGGATGCTGAGCATTTCTTCTCCTGTTTACTGGCTTCTGCTTGCCCTTTTTCTATTGGGTCTTTTATTTTTGGGGGGTGGGGGTCTGATTTTTTGGAGTTTTTTTTCTGGATTCTGGATATCAGTCCTCTGTCAGGACCTAAGTTTTAAGTGGCTCTTATACAGCCTGCTGTTGTAATTGCTCTATGATTATCAGTTATGTTCGTCTCTTCCTCTGCCTAATGCATAACCTTTATCATGGATGTGTGTGCAGCAAAGCACAGTCCTGTAGATTTTGGGACTCTTTGTGGGTGCAGGTGTCCCCTGGGCATTCTAGGGGTCTCTCTTGGACTCAACCATGCTGGACCCTTGACCAGCAGGGCAGAACTCAAAAGCCCAAGCAGGGTCCAGCTGCTCACGGTCAGAGAAAGGGGGAATGAGCTGCTCCCTCCAGGTGCGGTGACTATCCTTTGCGATGAAAGTGACCGTGCTTCCCCAACCCTTCTGGAGTCTTCTCTGGCCTGGGAAAAAGTCACCTCGCTGGCAGGGATTGGTGAAGCAGGACTTTCAGAGCTGAACCCGGACAGCTCAGCCAAGATGGGACCAGTTACCCCCAGCACTGGGGAGGCCTTTGGGGGACCCAGGGTGAGGTCCTGGTGGCTGTGAACAGGGCAGAGGGGTGCGGCAGCCCCCCAGGTAAGAAGACTTGGGGGGTCTTGAACCCTTGTGTGTGTTTGAATTCTGGCTCCTCCTGGTGTGGACTTGACCCTCCATCCTCCTGTCCCCATCCTGGCCATGATCAGTGAGCGGTGGAAACAGCCTCAATCCACAATGCGTTCTTTTAAATTCCTTTATCAGATAATCGGCTTTACAGAGCCACTGGTGAGAGAGAGTATGCCTATTTAGTTACTTTGTGGTGTGGGGCTTGGAACCTAGGGCCTCACCTTAGTCACACCCCAGGCCAGGGGCAACTTGGGACCTTGGGGTCACCGCTCCTGTGTGCTCTTTTGTCTGCCCCAGATGCCCGGGTGTTCGAAGTCATCATAAGGATCACAAACCACAACCTGACGGAGCAGCTGCTGGACGGCGGCAGCGAGGAACGCCGGACCTTCTCTCGCCAGCTGCTGCGCGAGGTAACAGCAGGCGGGCCGGGCATGGTCACCCTTCCAGGCGCCCAGAGACGCAACACCACACAAAGGCCAGCTGCTGCCCTGGGGAGGAGGAGGCGACGGCACAGTTCTTTGTGCATCGGGGAAGTCGAGCCACAGTCGCATGGGGAGGTTGGCTTTTCCAGAGCACGTTCCCTGGTTTTCGCAGGGATCTGGGTGCCGGGCTCTGTCTGCGTGCTGTCTGGGGAAATACGGCCCAGTATGGAGAGGATAGCTACAAGCTGCCCCAGGGGCCGCTCCTTGGTGTCCCTCTCTCCATTACTCAGTTCCTAATCTCTGCCTCACTCACACACACACGGGGTCCCCTATTGCTAGTTTTTGGGGCACCCAATTGGGTGGTCTCCAGGACGATGGGAGTCCCACACCGGGGAAGGCGTCGCCGATGCCCTGTTCGAGTGCCTGTGGTTTCTTTCCGGCCAGGTTGAGAACTCCTTCCCGCCAGCAGTTTCTGAGCTGCACAGGATGGGGAAGCTGAGGCTGGAGATCACGTCGCTCCAGGCGGGAAGTGTGGTAGCAACCCTCCGAGTCATGGTGCTGGACCCTGAGTCCCCTGTGGGTGTCTCCACTTTGGCCCCCATGCTCCAGCTTCTGCGTGCAAGCACCATGTTCCAGATCGACCCCCAGGGGAGTCGAGTGCAAGGTGCGTGTGCCCCTGGGACCCTCCAGCTCAGATCACCTGAGCGGCTTGGAGATGGACTCCCTTTCATCCCAAGGGAAATACCCTAAAGGAGCTGCAAGCCCTGTCCTGCATCCTCCACTGAACCAGGGCCAGAGCTGGGGACCCACAGCTCACTCTCTGTTATGGAAAGAGTTGGGGCCCCCGGGGTGGTGCCGGGTGTTCAGGTGGGGTAGAGGACAGGGTTGCAGTTCCTATGACTGGGGTCCCAGCATCTCGGGTGGCTGTTAATTGCCCATGGTGGGGCCTTTACGGTGTCCTAGTCCACTTCCTGTCACCTTGCTGTAGATGCAGGAGGTACAGAGTAACAGAGACTTAGAAACAGAGAAAGCCACCAAGGGAGAGATCTAGACAGACAGCGATAGACACAGAGAGGGGCAGGACAGAGAGACGGAGAAGGGGACAGATGCAGGAGCAGAGAGAGGCAGAGAGCACCAGAGGTGAACACAGGCCTGGAGAGACAGAGTGGGACGGAGATGGAACAGTGGGACGCTTGCCTCTGTCCCAGGACATTGGGAGACCCCTAGTGGCCCTGGCAGGGGTCCAAGTGTGAGTGTGTGCTGACCGTCCCCAACAGTCACTTGTGCAGGAACTCAGGCAGCCTGCAGGTCTACTTCCGAGTGGCTCCTGGAAAAGCTCACCCAAGGACACTGCTCCTGGCGGCCTCAGGATGAAGGTGGCTCCACCCCTCATAGACCCTTGTCTGGCTGGGCTGTGGAGCTGGGGACCCCTTAGTGGGGATTTGCCTTTCAGCAGGTCCAGCCCTGCCTCACTCCCAGAACCTGATGGACCAGGGCCCAGGTAGTGCCAGGTCTGGATCTGGGGACTTAGGATCCAGGGCTGGGGGCAGCAGTGTCCCCAAAGATACACCCATCTACCTGCACCTCCGCTTGTGTCCTTCTCTAGGGTAAGGGTTTGCAGCCCTGTGTGAGGTTAGGATCTCACAATGGTGTCATCCTGTGGCTGAACTTGGGGTGCCTGAGCTGAACTCCAGCCCAGGATAACATCCCCACCTGGGACAGAATATCGGAAGAGCCCTTCCCATGGAGGTAGGAGGCCATGTGAAGTTGGAGAGCAGGGATGTGGCCATGAGCCCAGAAGCTGCCTGAGCTGTGGGTAGCCGGAGGAGGCAGGAAATATCACCTCAAGCCCACGGCCAGTGCAGCCCTGCCAGCACCTCGATCATGGGCTTCCAGCTGGAGGGAGAATTCGGATGTTGCTCCTGCTGGAGGAGGCCCTTACAATGCGTGCCCAGGTGCAGTGCTGCCGCAGGGAGCTGTCCCACCCTGGCCACCATGGGGCCTCCACTTGGTTTTGATGGGAGACCTGGCTGGGCCCCGACAGTTGTCTGACCCAGTGACCTTGGCTTCTCCATGCAGCAGAGCTGGCACAGTCACCACAGAGCACAGCCTCTGTGCAGTAGGCCAGAGCAGGGTAGCTGTGGGCACAGTCAGGGACTCCAGTGACTTGAGGGCCCTGCCTGCTGCAAGGGGTTTCTGTGTCCACAGCCCGACACGGAGCTTTGGGAGCCTTCTGGGGGAGCAGGTTGTCGTTACCTCATCTTTGCTCATCCCCTACTGGGATGTCCTGGGTGTGGGCTGCTAGGCTGTGCTCCTGCCCACTCTCGAGCTGTCTGGCCGGCCAGCAGTGTGCAGGGATGCCGGGCAGCTTCCTCTCATGTGCACCAGCACCGCCTTGCAGCGGGGAGCCCTGGCCTTGGCTGTGGTGCAAGGTGAAGGAAGCCTGTCTTGCCTTGCTCTGCACTCTGCTCCACGCTGGGCACCCTGCCCGGCCCTATACACGGACGCCTGCAGGAGGAGGTCAGGCAGCGCCCCAGAAAGGAGTCCTGAGGCAGCCTCGCTTGCAGACCACACAAAGCGGAACGGAGCGGAGCAGCCACGGCTGAGCGCTGTCCTTACAGGACGGAACAGGCCCTGTCTCAGCCTGAATCCAGTAGCTGAATCCACCTGCTGCGGGCTCAGCTACCTGTCAGTACCCGCAGGGACCACACGGTTCCTGCCCGACTGGCTTCCAGCAGAGCTGGCTCTGTTCAGAGCGCTCCCCAGCCAGCAGTCTCCACCCTGGGGTGACATCTCCTTCTGCTCTGTGGCCCAGCAGCTTCCCTGCAGGCAGTGACCCCCAGAAGCAAGCCTTGCAGCTTGAGATAGCTAGTCTTGTGTTGTCTTGTCTTTTGAGATAGGATTTCACTATGTAGTTCAGCAGTGTGGTCTAGAATTGACCTGGATCCTCCCGCCTCAGCCTCCTGAGTGTTGGGATTCCAGGTGTGCACCGTGATACCCGGTGAGATATCTATTCTTAAGGTTTCATTCATGGTTATTACTAGTTGCATGTCAAAATCCACAGGAGCATCTTGGAGCAGTGGAAGGATGGGGTGGTGGTTACCAGGGAGACCAGAAAGGATGGAGGAGGGTAAAGAGAAGGAAATGGAGAGCCCCAAGTGCCTCTGTTTTGAAATTGTGGCTGACCAGGACTTGGGTAGAGATAGGACTTGGGGGAAGGTAAGCAAGGACTCTGGGCTGTAAGGGTTGGGACTGCCTGGCACCCTTCTGGGTCCAGCTCAAGAGGGCAGGGGGCTTCCTGGGCCCAGGGGAGAAGGTGTGGTGCTCACCAGCTGTTCCCACCCAGACATCTGGGCGCTCTGAATTTAGACGTCCTGGAGGCTTCCCTGGACCCCAACACCCCAGTTCAGGTATTTTTCTGAACACTGAATTTTTTTTTTTTTTTTTTTTGTCTTTTTGAGACGGGGTCTCTATGCAGTACAGGCTGGCCTTGAGCTCACTTTGTAGCCTAGGCTGGTTTCAAATTTGCAACGATCCTCCTGGCTCAGCCTCCTGAGATCTGGGATTATAGGCATGAGCCACCACACCTGGCTCGCTGAACACTGAATATTAAGGAATGTCACAACATCAGAGGGAGACAAAATAAATGAGAGGAATGGGCCAGGTAGACTGACCCATGCTTGTAACCCCAGCATTCTGGGGGGCTGAGGCAGGAGGATCCCAAGTTCAAGCCCAGCCTGGGGAACTTGGTGATTTAGTGAGACCCTGTCTCCAAAGAAAACATAGAAAAGGGGCTAGGGATGGAGCTTGAAATAGGGGCCCTGAGTTCAATCCCCAGGACAGAAAGAAAGAGAGAGAGAGAGAGGGTGTCATCAGGGCAGGTTGTTCACGGGTGCCTGGTCACCATCTGGCTTCCTGGAGGGCTCGGTGTAAGCCTTGAGCCCGGGCTCTGGGTGTCATGGGTGTCACATGGGGTCCTATCCTTTGCAGGGCGGCCATCTGTGCTTCTCACCTCATTCCCCCGTCCAGCGCCCTTTCGTTTTCCAAGTGGCCAGGTCACCTTCTCACCACTGTCTGCCTTCTGCCTGCAGATCGGGATGAGTGTGCCCACGCCTCGGAGCATGACTGCTCGCCTGCCGCCCGCTGCGTCAACCTCGAGGGCTCCTACACCTGCCAGTGTCACACAGCCAGGGACGCCAGTCCCACCCGGCCAGGCCGGGCCTGTGAGGGTGTGTGTCCCCTGTCCTGTTCTGGGCTGGGCCAGGAGTGAGGGTGACTTCTCCACAGGGACAGCACTGTAGGCCCACAGAAATGCAAGAGACCATAGGAAGGTTCTGGTTTTCTTTTAAAATACTGATCATTGTGCTAAACACGTATAAAGACCCCAACTGGCTTTTCTCCGTCTCTACCCCAGTGCTGGTATAAAATTTAATGTTAGTGATGTTTAGAGGGCACAGCTGCCCACGGGAGCTATGGGCCTGCAGCCCAAGGAAGGGTGGAAGCCTAGGTGAACTCCAAAAGGGTCCTGAGACGGAGAGACTGTGCCCCAGTCCTGCCACATCTCTGCCCCAGGTCTTTTGGGGTCTACTCTATCAGTGGATTGGGCCTGGCAGGTTGCTGAGTGCAGAAGCAGGAAGAAGCCCCCTGCAGACTTTAGATGCTGTGATCGATTGGCCATGTCTGGCCCGGGTGCAGGCATGGGTGGAGTGAGCACTTGGTCCTGCTCCCATCCCCAGGCTGGTGGGAAGGAGCAGGAAGATGTCTCAGAGGAGAATCCTGGTCCTCAACCCCTCAAAGCACCTTCCAGCTTCCAATGTCCCTGCAATGAGCCTTTTTTTTTTTTTTTTTTTTTTTTTGATTCTCTGAATGCCCAGTAGCTGGTGAGAGAAATTAGCAGTGACTCCCACATGGAGTACAGATGTGGGGATTCATGCTGTTCCCCAGAGCCTCAAGGAGTGTTCTGAGGCCAGGGGAACCAAGCCCTGCCCACCTTCCTGCCCCCCCCCCCCGGGCCCCGCTCTCGGGTCTCAGCTTCCTCTTTATCAAATGAGGAGGTCCTCCTGCCTCTGCCTGCTGAGGGAGCCAGGAGACAGCAGACATGGCCTCATTCAACACCAACATATCAGCCATGTCCTCCTCGGGGTCCAGAGCGGGATGGGGCGCTCCCGTGGATGGCAGTGTCCCCTCCCTTCCTGACCATCTTGCCAGGGAGGGGCCAGGCCATTTGCTTGTTCACTGCTGGAGTCTGACAGTGGCTGTGTCTTGCAGGTGATGTGGTCAGCCCCACCGGACGTGGTCTGTCTGCAGCACTGGGGGTCACTGCCCTGGTCCTCACCACAAGAAACACAGCTCTTGTCCCAGAGCCCCCCACATTGTCACCCAACCCCAGGAACCTAGAATGTACCCCGACAGCAGCCCAGGTCCCCACCCCAGGGCCCCTACCCAAGAGAGGGGCTGATGGCACAGTTGGACAGCACAGGAATAGCGGGGGGCCCAGTGTAGCCCCGAGCCCAGGGGTGGCCAGTGAGATGCCCAGCCCAGCCTCCTCCCCCATGGCTCCTGGGCCGAGCCCTGGGTCCTCCTGGGGGACCACAGATGGCCCAGTGCACTCCCGTGGGCAGCTCCTGGGAAACATCACCACAGAACCACCCACCCTGCCAGCGCCCACCAGCAGCCCCACAGGTCACGTTGAATGGCACCCCAGCCTCCCCACGCAGGGGACACCTCTGCAGTCCACGACACTGTGGCAGGAGGACCCTGGGCCTTCTGCCTCCCAGGGCTCCCTGACGGTCCCCACCACTGTGGCTCTGGAGACCCCTGCCTGTGGTGAGTGGCCCCGGGGACCGGGATCCTGAAGGGAACTTTGTGGCTTGTGGGATCAGAGGTAGCCAAGCCCACAGATCTGGTGTGTCCTGGGCCAGCCTGACGGGCAGTGTGAGGCCCTGTGCAGAGCAGGTGGCTTCCCTGCTGGCATCCGGTCTGGTTAGGGAGAGAAGCCTGTCTCAGCCTTTCCTCCTGCCCTAAGGCACTTGTTTGGTAGCTGGTGGGGCAGAAGTAGGGGGAGGAGATACCAAGGTGCATGTGTTCCAAGGGCCCCGGAGCACCCCAAGTGTCGGGTACATCAGTAGTCCTACACCCCCATCCGTGCCCTACCACCCTGCTTTTCCCCTCCTGTCCTGCGCCAGTGTCCTGCAAATGACCTGTTTTCCCCGTGCTGTGCAGAGAGGGTTCAGCCTGCCCCAAACCCCTGGGCCGCCCCGGAGGCCAGCTGCAGCTCTGAGCAGCGCCAGCTTGCTGCCCGCGGTGTCCTCACTGTGTGTGCAGAGAGGCTCCATCCGACCCTCACCGCATGCAGCACTGTCCCCATCCGAGTGGCTCTCAGACCAGCACTGCCACCCACGCTGTCCTGTGAGGTCCACCATGTCAGGGGTGGACAGCTCAGCCAGGAAGCAGCCCAGATCCTGCAGAAGGGCTTTGGCACCTGGGGCCTTTAGGGCCATCGTAGCCATACTCAGAGACTGGGCCAAGCCAAGGGCCACCTCAGGGAAGGGCGCTGTCTGAGAAAGCCAGGACAGGGGCCTCTCGCAGGTGTGTGTGGCAGTGAGGGCCCTGACAGGCCATACTGAAAAGGCTGTATTGAGTGAGCTGTAGAGTTAATCAGCGGGCTTTCTGCACTAACGTCTGAGTCTACCAGGCCTTAATGACCTGCTTGCTGAGCCAGCGGCTGGCATGTAGAGCTCTCCATACCAGTGTTCCCAGTGACAGCCTGTGGTGGCCTGTGACCCTGTGTCTTTGAAGGAAGCACAGTAACATCCTGGCTGAGGACACCAACTTCCACTCAGAACTCCAGGGCCGTAGCGGCCACACTTAGAGCTGAAACGGCTCTCACGCAGCAGACGCACCTCTGGGAACGTCTCTGTTCCTGCTGCACAAGGCCTAGCTCCATTCCCTGCTGTGTGTCTCAGCTGTTCCTGCTTTCTCCTGATAGGATGGACCCCATAAACAGTGCCAGTTCAGAAAGCCTGGGTCTTAGCCACAAGAGCTCTGGCCTTCTCGGACCCCTGTGTGACGTAGTACTCTGTCCACCACCTTTTATCCCCTGCTGTGCAATTGCCCAGGGGGTTGGGGGACCAGCAGGCTCCTGGCAGGACCCTCCCAGGACCGTCCCTGGCTGCCCTCACTGTGGCCTGTCCTCCCTACTGCTCCCAGCCCCTGTCCCCATCAGGAAGGTCACGGTCTCCAACGTGACCAGCACCGGCTTCCACCTGATGTGGGAGGCAGATGTCACCCTGCGCCCCACCTTCCATCTCTCTGCCACCGCCCCGAAGGGCCCCGCCGTGGCCCTGGAGACCAGGGAGCACAATGCGAAGCTGTCAGGGCTGGAACCCGGCGTCTCCTACCTGGTGGAGCTCACAGCCAAGGCGTGTGGAGAGGAGGGTGCGGGGACGAGGCTGAAAGTGAGGACAGGTAAGGTGTGGGGGTGGGGGAGCTGCAGTGTCCCTGAGGGGGAAGCAAGGAGGAGATAGAGGAGATGGAGGAGAGGGGTTCGGTGGAGGGTAGACGCTACTGGGCTTCTGTTCTTCTGGCCCCTTTGCTCCTGCAGTGTGGACAGCAGGCCCAGGGCTCCCGAGGAGCAGCTGCCAGCAGGGATCGGGGCAGAGTGGCTTTGTCGTGGGCAGCAGATGCCCCTGTCCTGGTCCTTGTGGGTCTGTGGTTCAACAGCACTACCTGCATTTCTTGGGCCCCTCCATTCTCTACTGTCAGGGGGTGTGGCCTTCTACCAGACATAGGAGGGGGTCTACCAGACACAGGCTGGGCCCATCAGACACAGGAGGGGGTCCACCAGACATAGGAGGGGGTCCACCAGACACAGGCTGGGCCCATCAGACACAGGCAGGGAGGGTCCATCAGACACAGGAGGGGGTCCATCAGACACAGGCGGGGCCATCAGACAACAGGAGGGGGTCCACCAGACACAGGCTGGGCCCATCAGACACAGGCGGGGTCCACCAGACACAGAAAGAGGTCCACCAGACACAGGAGGGGGCCCACCAGACACACTCGGAGGTTCTGGTGCAGCAGATGGTCCACACATTGGTAGCAGTGATCTCAAGGCAGGGGTAGATTGTGGTTTGGATTAAGACCAAGTAAGAAGGTCTTGGGGGACCAACTCCAAGCCCCCAAGAGGAGGCCCTTGTGGCTCGCGCCCAACACCCTGACACAGAGTGGGTGCCCCATACCCCCTCTCCACCACTGTGGTGGACCCAGTGAGGCCGCAAGGCAGAGGCGCCTGTTCCCAGAGGCCTTGCTGGAGTGCAGAGCCACAAGGACACAGGTGCCAGAGCACACAGGACTCCCTGAGCCCGGGGAGGTTGCTGCAGAAGAGGAGCCGTGCAGCTCACCCTGGCACCGGGTCCTGGTGTGGACCCAAGTCCCAGTCATGCTGTGGCCCCAGCTTAGTGGTTTTATGGGCTTCTTTCACCTGCCATGGTGCTCTGGCCTGACACCGGGCCCTGGGTCCTGCCCCCTTGGAACGCAGGCCGTCAGGGGAGAGGAGACAGCTGAAGGCCCAGCTGGTTCTTCAGCCTCAGGAGGTGTCTACCTCTGCGCCAGGCCTGTGCTACAGCCTCTGGAGCCCGGGGGCGGCACTGGGGCACCGGTGTCCACCTTCCTAGAGTGTGGTCAGCCCCACATGCTGTTCTTCCTGCCAGTGTGGGCCGGCGGCTGGGAAGCCAAGGTGACACGCCTTTAATGAGTGTGTCCGTTCTCTACCCTGCAGCGGCCCAGAAGCTCAGTGGCAAAGTGAGGATCGCAAACGTCAGGTTCTCAGAGTCCTTCCGCAATGCCAGCAGCACGGAGTACCGGGCCTTCGTGGACCTGTTCTCCCGGACGGTGAGTCAGGCGGGCATCCCTGACCCTGGGGAGGTGAGGGATGGAGGGCAGCGCTTGGGCTCCTCGGTGCTGAAGGAGCCTGGGACTAAGCCCTGGTGCCTGGGACACGGCCACACCTGTCCCCTCTTCACCTGGAGCCGCACTGCTTCCTGTCCATTGCGGGAACCCCCTCCCGGAAGACTTTAAAAGCCGAGGTCTATTGCACGTGCCACAGAATCCATAGATTTATCATGTTGACAGCGTTGACCACAGTCAAATGGAAATGTTTCTGTTTTCCTAAAACCAAACACATGACCCACTAGTTACTGTCTCCCAAATCCAGGCAATTGCTGAGCTAATCGTTATCTTCATCTATTTCCTATTTTGGGGATTTATTTATTTTTTATTCAAAATAGATCATAATCATAGCAACAACAAAGACTCTAACATAGCCAAAGAATCCAAAAGCCTGCAGAGTGAGCTCACGCTGGCTGTTGGAGTCAAACCAGAAGCTGAGAGCAGAAATGATAGATTTTTCCTCGTTCTTTTCCCTGTTAACCTTTTCATGAAAGAGAAGCCATGAAATGTTCGAGGTTGTGGATCTGATTTCCTTAACCGAAAGGTCTCGGGGTGCTTTGGTTTTCCCATAAATACCCCAGGTTTACAGCCCAGTGAGGCTCGCATGTGCAAACACCACCCTCTCTTTAAACATTCCTCTGCCAGTGGACACAGAGGCCACTTTCAAGATTTAGCTCTTTGGGCTGAGACAGAAAGATCATTGCGAGTTCAAGACCAGCCTGGGCTACACACTAAGATCAAGGCCAGGCTGAACGGCACAGGGAGATCCCGTCTCAGAAAGACAAAAAAAAAAAAAAAAAAAGCTTTACATGTTTGAATTATGCTGCTATGAACACGGGTGTGCGTGGATCACTGTGGTGTGATGTTTTTAACTCTACCCCAGAGAGGAAGTTTTCACATTTCATAGGGTAATTCAGTGGCTTGGAGTCTGTTCCCTGGGCCACATGGCAATCATCACCATCTAACTCCAGACAATTTTCATCACCCCAAAGCGGAGCCCCCAGCCTGTCCCCTGATTCGCCCATGGGCATTGCCCTCTGCTCCCCATCTCCGTGGATTCACCCATTCTGGGTGCCCACAGTGACAGAGTCAGGCACTGGGTGATGGCGGGGTCTGGCTTCTTCCACTTGGTGTGAGCTCTCCAGGCTCACCCACGTGGCACACACTGGCTTTGCTCCCCTAGGGCTGGGCCACGGCCCATGGTCACATTTTTTCCTCCATGCATTCACTGATCTGGGTTGTGTCCACTTGTGTCTATTGTGAAGCACCCCACTAGGGCCTCCTTCCAAGCCGCTTTCCCACCTTCCCCGTCCTGCTTCCTAATAGGGGCTTCCTTGGTGTCCTCTGGGATGCGTGTCCTTATAGGCTAGTCAGGGCAGCAGCATCGATATCTTGTTGGAGGTTAGATTTTTTTTAAAGATATAGAGAATGAACTGGTCATAACACAATTGCCCTTGTTTTTATTAGTGGACTTTTTCAGTTTTTCTTAGCCTGAGTTGGGAGCTTTAAAACCCAGGCAGAGCAGGTTCTACAGCGCCATCTCATGGCAAGAGTGCAGATGCACAAGGGCCCAGTGGATTGGGGGGGGGGGGGACCCCACCAGCCTGGCTCCTTGGTAAAATAAATGGCCCGGCCAGCAGCTGTGGTCCCTGGGACCCAGGGTCTGCCAGCATCAGGCTGCCAGAGGCGAGGGTGGTGTGGTTGGTGGTACCTGTTGCCGCCTCCTTGGGGTAAAGTGACGGCTCTCCGGAGACCAGGTGAAGCAGCCCTGTCTCCATCTCGAGCTGCTTGGCTAATTTTTCAGCTTGTCCTGCTTTGCCTGTTTGGGGAGAGTTGCTTTTATGTTTAGAATCTCAGCACCGCATAGACCTTGACAGGCCCGTGCCCAGGCTGGGTGTGTTGAGTACCGGGAGGTGCGGGTTGATGTGGCATCTGGCTTGGCACCTTAGAGGGAGCCTGGAACTTTGAAGTGGTCACATTAACACCCAAGCCCCCAGCGGATATTTGTGAGGGGAGGGGAGGAGAAAGACCCAGGACTTTGACAGCAGCCGTGTGACTGCGCCAACCAAGGGCTCAGGTCAGCCTCTGACAGGTGACAAGGAATTTGTTTGCTGTGGGTGGCCAGGAACAGGACATGACCCCTGTGCCCCGGGCCGCTTCATGCCCTGGTCCCTCGCTGGAGCACTGTCCCTGCACGAGCTCCACTGTCTAGCACATTTGCACTGCATGGGCCGGGACAGTCCACTGTAAGACCACAGTCTCTGGGCATTTAGGCCATGGTGGGCTGGCCTGGGGAACAGAGTGTGTGACATAGGACTTCGCCACAGCAGCAGAATCTAAGAGCAGGAGCTGCCTATCCCACTAGGAAGCTGCATGCAGAGGCGGCCTGGGGATAGGAAGGAGGAACAGAATGGGGAATGTACCATGTCAGGAAGCATGGAAAGCAGCATGGTCTCGCTCCCCTGCCTGCCCCTGCCCTGCCCCCTCACTCCCCAGGGTCCGGCTGCCACCGTGAGCCCTCATAAGATGGGCCAGTAGGGGTGGGGCCCTGACCCATGCTAAACCCACGGCCATCTCTCCACCCCTGCCCCTGTGCTGTGGGACAGGGACCTTCTCTGCGTCCCAGACGTCCAGGGCATGGGTGCTGAGCTGGGGCCTGAGCAAGCAGGAGAGGGGCACAGAGCCACCCTGCAGCTTTGACCATCCTGTGAGCCAGCCCTGCTGTGGGGTGGGATCCCCTCAGTGGCCCGCGTCCTCCGTCTCTCCAAGGTGCGGGACTCCCTGCCGGCCACTCTACGCCAGCACATGGACACCGGTGGGATCAGGATGAGCATCACTTGCGTCACCAATGGCAGCATCGTGGTGGAGTTTGACCTGCTGATAACGGTGGCTGTGGATGTCGGGGTGGTGTCTGCCACATTCCTGGATGCCCTGGGGAACATGTCTCAGCTGGAGGTGGTCAGGAACGATACCTTCATATGGGGTAGGCAGACGTGGGAGTGTCGGTGTCCTCCCTTGATTTCTGGGCAGGAGCCCCACTGTGACCCTCGGGCCTTTGGAAGACAGGTCCCCATGCTGGCCCTTCCTAGAATTCAGTGGAAAATGCAGATTGGCTGGGATGCTCCCTGTGTCTCTCACTGTACCATCGCTGTTTCTGAGGTTTGAAGGCTGAAGCATCTTCAGCTGGCCCTGCAGAGATTCCCAGGGTGGCTGCCACCTGTCAGGGTTGCCTGTCTCTCTCCGCCCCTGTTAGATGGCTGAGGTAGATCTGTCCCTCGAAGCAGCCCCTCTCTTCTCCTTTTCTAAGAAAAGAAGGGTGGGGAGAAAAAGGTGACTCAGATTCTTTCCTTGTATTCTAAAAAGGTGTGATCGAACAATATAATTCATTTTTAATTATAAAAAATTATTACAGTGAAAGACACACTGCCATGAACACCCTCGAAATCTTCCTCCTTCCCTCAAAAATGCACTCCTCCCACCATCCTGGCCACTCTGCAGCAGCTCTGGAGTCCTTTTGCCTAAGCTGTCCAGGATGCTTCAGTGTCCTAAATAGAATCAAAATGTGTCCCCTGCATGGTCACTTTGGCTTTGGGGAGGAGCTGGAAGTCCCACAGTACCAGATCCCAGGACCAAGGCGGATGAAGACTCAGCATCGTGTTTTTAGGAGCCACCTTTCTGCTGGACGGTGCTCAGTGGCAGCAGGCACTGTGCTTTTATCAAACCGCAGAAAAACACTCAAGAAAGAGGACCCCAGAGCTGCTGCAGACAGAGGCCAGGATGGTGGGATGAATGTGCTCAAAATGAGGGGGAGGATTTTTGAAAGGAATTAATGTGAAAATGTACTGTGATACATTTTTATTTTTGATCATCCCTTGTCCTTGAAACTAAATGACAACTGGCTTATAATTGTATATATGAAAAAATGAAGACTTAAAATTGTGAGGAAATATTTTCTGAGTTGGGGAATGAGAACAGTTTCCTAAGGGCAGGTTTTCAAAGAAAGAGGCTAAAATACTTGGTTACCCCAAAATATAAATTTTCACTGGGTGTGGTGGCACAGGCCTGTAATCCTGGGGCTGGGAGCGGGAGGCAGGGTTGTCATGAGTTGAGCCAGGCGGAGCTCTGTGATGAGCCCAAGACAGGTCTCCAAGAAACTCCTACGCTTTCTATGTCAAGCAAAGTAAGTCACCATTATGAAAGCAAAAAACTACACTTTCGATAAACTGATGAACTGATATCCTAACTTCATGCAATAATCATACAAATAGATGATAAATACTCAGAACCTGATAAGGGCAGCACAAAAGATTCGAATCAATAATACTGAGAAGAAAATCCCAGAAGATGTGATCAGCCGAGACACCCCCTTCAAATAACTCGCTCTCTTAGAAATAAATGTCTTTCGAGTGAAATGGTCCTCCCAGCCTGCGGAGCCTGGCCAGGCGCTGGGAGTCTGCAGGTGGGGGCAGAGTTTGCCCACCCTCCCTGGGCATCGGCCCAGCAGTAGTTTCAAATCTTCCCGGGTGTCCAGCCCCTGGGCGTGGGGAGACGAGGTCTGGGGCTTCCTCCTGAGGACAGAGGCCTCCATTTGCATACAGTTGGTGCAGACTCATCTTCTGTGTGGCTTTCAAAGTGGACAAACTGGGGACACCGAGTCCTGGGGTGGGAAATGCACGGGGTGAAGGCCACAGCATGGGTGGTTGTTGATTCTGGGAAATGGGGTACATTGAGATGGGGGAAGAGGGGTGAAGAGGGAAGCGGAGTGGGCTTGGTTCAGTGGGCTGAGTGATGGACAGTTGATGACTGACTAGACATGAAACCTGGGCCCCTCAGTAGCCCGTGAGGACATCAGGACTAGAAGGGGACAGAAGCCTGTGCTGCCCTGACCAGCTCCTCCCCGAGTGGCACATGGCAGCCCCCTCTGGCTCCCTCTGGCCTCCCAGAGGTCCTGCAGCCCAGGTCACCTCCTCTGCCGTCTCCCCAATGCCTCTCAGATTACGATGAGTGTGGAAGGGGCGAGGACGACTGTGTGCCGGGGACCTCCTGCCACAACACCCTGGGGACTTTCACCTGCAGCTGCGAGGGGGGAGCCCCTGACTCCCGTGTGGAATATTCTGGAAGAGCCTGTGCAGGTAACTCCCCTAATCCTGGAGGGGTGTCTTGGAGCTGGTTGTCATTGGAAACAGGGTGTCATTCTGTAGCCCAGGCCGGCCCTGAACACTAGGTGATCCTCCTGCCTCAGCCTCCCAATTACTAGGATGATAGGCATGCGCCCCTACACCTGGCCTGGAGCTGGTCTTTAGGGGACATGGTGGGCAGCGTGTGGTGGGAGCTTCGTTGAGAAGACAGTTATTGAAGATGGCTGGGGCGGCTGGCTGACTCTGGGAGAGGGTGGAGAGCAGAATCGGCTGCTGGGGGTGGGGCGGGGCTGGGGTCAGGAGCTGCCTGGGGCAAGAAGGAGGTGGCCTCAGGTCCTTCTGGGGCAGGGGTGTGGCACAAGGCCCGACTGGGGACCCATTTTAAGGATGAGCCTCTGAGGGAGGGCAGGGGACCCGGCCCAGCTCAGGGCGTGGTGCCTTGGCTCTGCTGGCTGTGGCTACTGGAAGACACAGCCCGGGTCCCGCAGAGCCGCCCACCTGACCTCTGCCTCCTCTATTCTCAGGTGGCTCTCCTGACAGCTTCACTCTGACCCCCAGCCCCGAGCATCGCCCAGCCGGGGCAGAGACCTCGGCTGCCCTCCCACCTGGCACCAACCCCGAGCCCCAGGGCACGCAGCCACGGCTGAACCTGACGGGTGCAGTCAGGGTGCTGTGTGAGATGGAGCGTGTGGGCATCGCCATCCAGAAGCACTTTCTGCAGCAGGAGCTCATCCCCGAATCCTCCCTGTACCTGGGACAGCCAGCCTGCAATGCCAGCGTCAGCAACGACTCCCACGTGCTGCTAGCAGTTGGCTGGGGCGAGTGCGGGACCCTCGTGCAGAGTGTAAGGAACAGGGGGACATCCCTGAGGGTGGTCATGAGCTGTGGGGGACCCGGGCAGGACCTGCTCACCAAGCCGGCACCCAGCCAAGGGCACTGGGTGCCCTAGTTCTCAGCCTGCAGCCTGAGTCAGGAAGGAATTGCTGGCCCCACCCTGCAGGGCTCTGGGCAAAGGCCTTGGGGTGGCTGGAGTCAGGTTGCAAGGGCAGAACGGAAAATGGAAGGGAAAGGAGGAATTCCAGGACCCAGGAGGGAATGTCATGGTGCCGTGCATGAGTATGTGTGGAAGCGGGCGTGAGTCCCCATCTGCACGTGTCTGTGTGCTTACATGAGTGTGTGTATATGGCTGTGCGGTGTGAGTGTGAATTTACCCCAAGGCCCCAGGTAGGCAGGGGGTTCTTCAGCCACAGTGACCTCTGGTCCCCGCCCCAACTCCAGGCACAGGAGCACCTAACTTAGAGATCAGAGTCAAGGTGTGTGGCCGGCTGCTGCTGCCTTCTCAGGCCAGAGCTGCTGCAGCCTGGAGTTTGTGGAACATACCTTAGGGTGCTTAAAGCAGGGCATAGGGCACATGCCTATCATCCCAGCACTGTGGGAGGCTGAGACAGGAACATCCTAAGTTTGAGCCCAGCCTGGACAACTTAATCACTTAATAAGACCCTGACTCAAAATCAAAACTGAAAAGAGGCTGAGGGTATAGCTCGTGTGCAGGCACTGGGTTCAAACCACAGCACTGAAGACCTAAAAAACGTCAAAAGGCAGGTGTCCCCCACTGTGCTCTGGTGCTCCCCGCTGTGCACACTGGGCCGCTCCCCAAGAGTCCGTGCCCCCATGAGGATGGTGTGGAGGCTGCTGGCAGAGGCCGGGGGCTGCTCTCTCCGCCCCGTTCCCTGAGCCAGCACCCAGCTCTGATGAGGAGCTGGGAGAGTTTGGGGCGGCGGAGAGGAAAGAGAAGGCGGCGCTCTGTGGGGTCCAAACCCAGGGCCCACAGGGCCACCAGTTCGAAGCCCATTGCCTGAGAGTCACTTGCAGGGTGGAGGTGGGACGTGTGGTTGTCAGTCTCTGCCTCTTTCCTGTTAACAGCAGGCGTCCAAGCCGCAATAGCCAAAGTGAGGTGAGGGCCACAGGGGCTTTGCATGTGGGAGGCCGAGCTTGCACAAAGACCCCGATTCCACAGCCTTCACCCACAGCTCACTCTTGGTCCGCTCTGTGCCCAGAACAAGACCAGCACAGTGGTGAAGACAGTCCTGAGGAACGACCGGTCCCCAGACGGCATTATCCACCACCCCACAATCCTGAGCCCCATTCGCTGCATCTTCCGGAATGACCTTCTGACGTCCCTGGGCTACACCCCGAAGTGGGGGTGAGTGGGGAGCTGCTCCTGTTCCCCAGCAGGCAGCCAGCTCTGCTTCTCAAAAAGGGCCCTGTGCTGTCCTCTGGGGGGTCCTCGCTGATTTGCACATGCAGCTCTTGAGGTTCTTGGGGTGAAGGACGGTGAGAGGATGGGAAAATAAAGAGGGGCGGAAAGCTGGGGTCCGGTGGAGCCCCCTCTCCTGATGGGACAGAAGGAACTGCCCAGCCGCTGCAGCGCGGTTATTTACACACTCAGGAGGAGGACGGCAGGTTCAGCCCCGCTGCCGGCTACCTGTCTGCCTGGCCGGCTGGGCCCTCCCTTCCTGGAGCTGGGGCAGCTGGTTTACCCGGCTCGATTTGGGCTCTGGGTTCTCAGGGAAGGCCTTGCTTTAGCCCCACACCTGATCGATCTCCAGCTTCAGCGGCTCCCCACATCATACTTCTTGGGAGTTGCTTCCAGAGGGAGGACCAAGAAACAGGGGGCCGCAGAAACGACCCCCCGACTGCCACTCCCTCGCAGGGTTTACACTGTCATGGAAGACCTGCACGGCGCGGGCACGTTTGTCACGGAAATGCAGCTGTTCGTCGGAGATTCTCCCATACCTCAGAACTACAGCGTGTCTGCCAGCGATGAGGTCAAGGTCCAAGTGGGGCTGCACAGGCAGAAGAGCAGCCTCAAGGTGGTGCTGGTTCGATGCTGGGCGACGCCCTCCAGGGATGCCCAGGACCCCGTCACCTTTGGGTTCATCAACAACAGGTGGGCTTAGGGGGCACTGGGCCCGTGGCGTGGGCCCTGAGGTGGGCCTGGGTCTGGGGACCTGGGTGCCCCCTAGACCCACATTTCCTTTCGTAGCTGCCCTGTCCCCAACACCTACACCAGCGTGATCCAGAACGGAGACTCCAGCAAGGCCCAGTTCAAGCTGAGAATCTTCTCCTTCATCAACAACTCCATAGTTTACCTGCACTGCAAGCTCCGGGTCTGCATGGAGTCCCCTGGTGCCACGTGCAAGATAGTGAGTCCTGGGGCTCCCGGGTGAGGGGCTGCTGCTCCTAAGAGGCCAGGCCAGGCCAGGCACTCTTGGCCTGAGAAACGGTGCTGGGCATTGAGCAGCTGGCTGAGGCCTGGAGAGCTGGGGGTCTCCCCAACTTGCCAGTGCCTGGACCCAGCATTTGTGAGGCTGTGGTCACTGCCCCTGCCATCAAACTTCTCCCCATGGTCGCTGATTGGGCACCTGGGCGTATAGATGTTATTTCAGCTTCTGTCCTTTTAGCAGCACTGAGGGCCCATCAGTAAACAGCCTGGATGATACTTCCCTCCCACTTTGTTCCGAACATGAACAGTGGCAGGGGTAATTCTGCAATTTCGTCTCCCCAGACCTCTGTGTTTGAAGGTTTGGAAGCTGCACTCTGTGCCCAGGCAGGGACTAGTTAGAGAACTCTGCTGGTCTCTGTCAACCCGACCTTGGTGTAGGTCACAACAGGTTCCTTTAGGACAGGTACCATACTAGTTTTAGGGCTGCTAGGACGCAGATCAGGCAGCAGCTGCAGAAACTGACCCCCAGGTCTGAGTATCTAAGGTCAGAGTGCCAGCAGGGCCACTTCCTTCCGAGCCGTGCAGGAGGCTGGGTCCAGGCCTCTCCTGGCTCCATCTTGGCTTGGAGTTGCTTCCTCGGTGCCTTTGCATCTCCTTCTCTCAGTGCACACTGGTTTCCAGGTCCAGATCCTCCTTTCTGCAAGGACTCCAGCTGTACAGGATTAGAGCCCACCAAGTGGCCTACCCTAAATTGGTCACCTTTCCAAATACAGGCACAACTGCAGCTGTGGGGTTAGGGTGCCAACATCTCACTGGAGGGCCCAGGGATGCAGTGGGTGGTCCTACAGGGCCGGGGGGCCTTTCTGTAAGGCAGAGGTGACAGGAGTTGTATGTGGCCTGTGTGGTCCCCAGGCAGGGAGCAAAGGACCAGTGACCTCCATCACAGTGCTTGGTGTGGCCCTCCGTCCTACTTCCTGCCTGTCCCCTGGTACCAGCAGGGTGCCCCGTGCTCCTCCCCCTTTTGACACCTGGACATGAACCCCCTGACTCAGCTGGATACCACCCCGACAGTGACCCCTGCTAGAAGCGGTGCAGCCAGCTTGAAATTTCCCTCCTTCCAAACCACCCCACAGAACTGCAATGATTTCCGGGTTCTGAGAAGCAGGGATGGTGCCAGGATGCTGGAGGTTTCCTGGGGACCCCTCCTCCGTTCGGCAGGTGAGTCCACGCCTAGGTTCAGATGGCAGAGAGTCTGCTGCAAACCAAACGACTGCCCTGAAATGTGGCATCCAGATTTCCCCGAAAGACCTGCAGCAGTGAAAGAACAGAAATATGTAAGAGCCACGATCCATTGGAGGGGTGCTGAGTCCCTGGAGTATAGGATGTAACTTATTTCTCCTGAACAGCCCGGAAAGTGGGGTCCACTATGGTCCCCACGCTGCCAAGGGCAAGCCAGGGCTCCGAGAACCGGGCGGTGGGGTCCCAAGAAGTTCCGAGCAGACGTTTCTGCTCCCTGGTAACCACATTGCATGTACGCGCAGAGGGGGCAGCTCAGGCTGTGAACGCGGTCAATTCTGTGTGTGTGTGTGTGTGTGTATGTGCGTGCAAGTGTGCGTGTGCCCTGATTGTGTGCGCACGTGAAAAAGCTGTTCTAGTCAGAAGATCTAGGCAGAAGGAGGCATTTCTGATTTTCCCCGGTGTGCAGGTTCCTCCAGCCAGTTAAACTCCATGTTCTGTTTACTGTGATTGCTCTGGTGGTTTTGATAAAAAGCAGCGATTTGGGGAACAAGTGTGCCTAAGAGATCCCTAGCCGCCCCCCATTGCTGTCCCTCTCCTTCTGTAGGAGGAGCCCCAGGGCTTTAGCTGCCAGAGGTAACAGCCTATCTCTAACCTATGCGGTGGCCCAGCAGGGCACAGCGTGTCGGTTCAGGCCATCAGGGCCCAAGGGAGCTGTGGTCACTCTGGGACACCCCCTTCAAGCCTCCTGGCACCCTCCTGTGCTCCCTGTTCTTCAGCCCAGTGTCAGAGCAGGCGTTCAGCAGCTTTCAGGGACCCTGAGCACCTGTGGGCACTAGTGACCACCAGGGGCTGGGGCCGAGGATCCCACGGCACAGGGCTGGGCTCTACCCCAGTTTCTGTCTCGGGAATCAAGTTCCCTTCGCCTTGAGCCATTGCTGTCTCCCAGTTGCTCCTCCTTGCTGCAGGAGCTCGTTTCGCTGGCTCTCTTCTCTCTCGCTGCTCGGCTCAGCCTGATGATGTGCTCTCAGCCCTGCTCTCTGGCCTGCAGAGGACCCTGAGCCGGGTCCGGCTGCCAGCAGGGCTTGGCGAGGACCCCAGGACATGAAGGGCGAGGATGGTATTTCTCAGCGGCTGGTTCTCACGGCTTTTGGCAATGGAGAACCCAGGCACAGAGCAGCCCACACCCTCAGGAAGGAAACTGGAGCTGTGGGGCCTCAGGCTGTGGTGTGGCTGGCTTGGTTCTGGGACACTGAATGTTTCCTCTCCTCATTCCCTTACGTGATCAGGGAGGCCGGGTCAGCCTGGGGCTTGATAAGAAAGCTGCACATCCTGGCCCGCAGGAATCCAGCCCTGCAGCCACATGGGGACGCTGTGAGGACGTCTCACCCCATGAGGGAATCCCTGGGCTGGAGGCAGCATGCGGGGCTGTACGGCTCACAGCGTGTGTCACTCCACAGGTGCGACCACAGGTGCGACCACAGGTGTGGCCGCAGGTGTGTCTCCGGGCACGAGGCCCCACCTGACCACCAGCTACGTGGCTCTCATCGTGGTCACCGCCTTGGTCGTGGTGGCGGGGGCTGTGGCTCTTCTGATCCTGCGCTACCAGAGAACCACCGGGAAATACAGCTTCCGAATGCAGCCAGATAACTTCAGTTACCGGGTGTTCTCCGGGTAGGAGGCCCGGCCGCCAAGGAGGATGAAGGGGTGGTCTGCTGCCTGGGTCCTCCATCACCCGGGGGCGGCAGGGTGGCGTGGTGAAGGGCAGATCTCTAGCGGGAGAGGCATCCTCCCCCTGAAGAAATGACCCTGACTTGCCAAGGGATAGAAGTGACCGTGGATCAGCCTGGCATGCTGAATGATCCTGGTGTTCCTGGTCAAATCTGTCCCGGACTCTGTGCGTCCCCTGGGGGGCTACCCTCCTCTCCCTGGCACGCACAACTTGAACTCTCGGGTGTTTTGCATTTGTCATGTGGACTCCTCGGGGGGGGGCCTGTGTGCTGCCCCCTCTGGAGGGCAGTATTTGCATGTCGCCCACGTGCCCGTGCTCTACCGGAGATGACTCATGGTGCGTAGTGCAGTGGAAAAGCTGGGGGAATCGCTGTCGCTCTGCAGTGTTTAGGGAACAGCAAACACAGCCTCAGCACAGGTGCGCTTTTGAGGGAGCATTTTCCCTCCCCAGTTTCTGGGGTCCTGCGGGTGCGGAGAGCTCGGGCTGGGCCTCAGTTACTTCCCCTGCTGCTGGGACAGAGTAGTCAACACCTAGAGTTTACAGCAGGAGGGGTTTGCTTAGCTCGCAGTGTATAGAGGGTCAGTCCATGGGCAGCTGGCTCCGAGGCAGGGCGTTGCTGCAGGGGACCTGGGAGACAGGAGGAAGAGAGGAGGAGGAGCGGGGAGGGGAGCAAACCCCTCTGGGCTCTGCCTCCCCACACTGCATTCAGCTGTAAACTCCTCAGTGGACCCATCCCTGATGAGTGTCTCACCCCACGATTCAATCACCCCCCAAAGCCCGCCTCTGAGCCATGAGGCTTTGGGGGTACTGAACATCTAGATATGAACCCAGTGAGGCCTTCTCCTCTCCTGTGAGCAAACTGACCCAGGCGACCTTCCCACACAGGTAACGGCAAGTTAGATTCGGGTCTCAGCACATGAAGCAGTCACAGGAGTCGAGCTGTACAGCACTTTGTTCCAGCGCTCAGATGAGCCCAAGCGGGACCACAGCAGACCCTGTCTGTCCCCAGGAGACCACTGTCCAGTAGGTTCCAGGCCAGCAGCACCCACTGGGCAGAGGACAGGCTGTCAGAGACAGAGGCAGAGTGCTGGGGCATCCTGGAGCCTCAGGGCCAGCGCAAAAGCAGCTCCTGTCCAAGTCATCCACATAGCTGTCATCAGACCCTTGCCCTCCAGTCTGGTCCACACTGGCTGTGAAGCCCTTTTTAAAATAGATCCACTTTATAAAACCATCATTGCTAATGCTATTTCTAGAAACTGTGTAAGGTAACAATAGAGAAAACTGATTGACTAAAATGTATGGTGGTCTTCAGGAAAGGTTTGATCCAGCAATGTCAGTGTGACTGACACTGTTTATTCTGTGTTCCCAGTTTGTTGTTTTTAATTACACAACAGCAGCACAGAAGGCACTATCCTAATACAAAAGTCTTTCTAATAATTATAAATGCCGTGGTATATAGACACGACCCTCTTGTTCCCAAACATGTTCCCAGCCATTGTTTTTCATTCCACCGGGGAAGGTGTGATCATGGGAACCACACAATAAGGCCATGGATGAGTGGACAAGGAGGTGGGTCTGGGGTGTGACTTCTAGCCTAGAATTTTCTCCATTGCACCACACACTGGGACACTGCTTTCTGCTTTACTTGAAGTAAATTAAAATTGGTAAGAGAGCCTAAAAGTAGGGCACTGTCCCTCGGTGAACTTAGAGTCTCAAAGGATGTTAGTGTTTAAGTCACAGGACTCGCTCTGTGGGACGTGGTCAGCTGTCACTCACACAGAGTATGTGGAAGGGAGGGCTTTGGTTGCTGGACATTCTCGGAGCACGAATGACGATAGGAACCTGTGTGGGTGACCGTACTGGAGCAGGACAATAAACTGCACATGACATTGAACGGGGACCAGCTGTGCGGGCTTCTCCACATTGTTCAGGTCACAACCCAGGCTCTCGGGGCACCTGCTGAGGGCCAGGTCATGTTGGGGACTAGGGGCATCAGGAGGAAGTCTCTGTCCATCCTGAGCCGTGTCCATCTGTCCTGATGTCAAGTGTGCAGGAAGCCCGGGGCTGGGTGGCCCTAGCCTCTCAGAGAACGCTGTGGCCTGTCCCTAACCGAATCCCTTGGACTTCACCTCAGTAAGTGGGCTGCACCCATGCGTCTGTTCTTTCTGGAAAGTGGAAGCTCGGCGTCCCCTCTCCCTCCATCTCACCTGGGCTCCTCCTTGATGGACGCTTCCGGAGCAGCTGCAGGCCTGCTTTTCCAGGCCCCCAGAACTCCTCACACACAGAGGCCACCTGGCCCTGAGCTGCTTCAGTGTGGGCCACAGGAAGAGTGGCTCACTACAGTGGGATGTGTGGTGGAGGGGAGGCCCTGGTGGAGGGAGAGCCCCTGATGAAGGGGACCCCGGTGGAGGGGGAGCCCCTGATGAAGGGGACCCCGGTGGAGGGGGAGGCCCTGATGAAGGGGACCCCGGTGGAGGGGGAGGCCCTGATGAAGGGGACCCCGGTGGAGGGGGAGGCCCTGATGAAGGGGACCCCGGTGGAGGGGGAGGCCCTGATGAAGGGGACCCCGGTGGAGGGGGAGGCCCTGATGAAGGGGACCCCGGTGGAGGGGGAGGCCCTGATGAAGGGGACCCCGGTGGAGGGGGAGGCCCTGATGAAGGGGACCCCGGTGGAGGGGGAGGCCCTGATGCACTTGGAGGTTCCAGGCCACTGGGCCTACGGCAAACCCTTCGGCCCAGGCTGCATCCCTCCATAGAGCCGCTAGGTGGCGCACAAAGCCAGGCCTGTGGCCGAGACCGCACAGCCCCTGTAGGACCGCAGCGGGCACAGCCCTGGCCTCTCTCCTTTGCCCGTTCTCTCTGGAGTTGAGCTTCCTGCCCACAGGCAGAGGTGGATCTGCGTGGCGTCACAGTCGGGGGCTGTGTCTGCTGCGGGATGTTGGGGATCCTTGGAGGCCTTCTCACGGCTTGGGAAGGGGCTCTGTCTACTGGGGTCCAGGGCTGCACCCTAGGAGGTGAGTTGGTGATTCGCAGACCCGTGTGTGTGTGTTTGGGTGTGTGTGTGTGTGTGTGTGTGTGTGCGCCTGCGTGTGGCGGCTGTGATGTGGATCTGCTTCCGACATGGGTCTCCCAAGTGAGGCCGTCACTGACTCCTCCTCTTTCCATTCCTAGGAGGACGGAGATTCCCAGCTCCCTCTTCCTGGGACATACAGGGGCCACTGCTGTCACACCCACACTGTGCCCGACCAGGCAGGGCACAGTGCCCAGAACCTGCCTCGGGCCAGGAATCTCCGGGGGAGCAGGGCGGGGTGAGGGTCTGCACCTGCCACGTCCTCAGGAACACAAAACCCACGGGCAGTCAAGGCAGAGAAAGAGTAATTAAAACATAATTAATACACAGATTTTCAATAGAAAAGCACCCAGCTACTGACAGCACACAGGGCCCTCTCAGGAGCCCATCTTGCCGACAGGCCGAGTCTGGACCACCCTGGGGAGGCATCAAGAAGAGCAGGAAGGCACTGGACCTGGGAAGAGATGCCCAGCGTGGCCCATGCTGGCCCAAGGGTCCCTGTGGGTTTACGCCCGGGGCAGCCCCAATGCAGAACTCACGATGCCCCCAATCCAACACTGTCTGTAATCTTTTCTCTTTGTCCTGGGGATCGAGCTCTGAGCTACATTCCCAGCCGTGTTTACTCCCAGCTGGATCTCACAAAACAGTGAAATTGCCCAGGCTAGTCTTGGACTTGGAATCCTCCTGCTTCAGCCTCCCAGAGTGCAGGGACTATAGCTGTATCCCACCATGCCCGGCTCAAGATCCAGAACCTTTTGAGTGCCAACATGATATCGCCTGTGGAAAACCCCAGATCTGATGTCCTGTGACAGCATAGAGCAGTGCTGTGTAAATGATCTTGGGCTCTGTGCAGGGGACTTTGTGGATGTCCCTGAATCTTGTTTGGACCCAGTCCCATCCCCACATAGCTGGCTGCATAGATGCTCATATTCCAATCTGAGAAAACCCCGGTCCCAAAGTGCTTCCAGTCCCAAGCATTTGGGGTGAGGGCTATTTTCTCTACCCTTAGTGTTCAGAGCAATGTTTCATGGAAATTATTTTAGAATTCTTGGAAAAGTCAAGCTCTCATGGTTTCCTTCTGGCTATTTTCAGGCCTCAAATAGGGACCAGAAAGTCCTATGGCAAAGTAATCGGGTGGAGGAAGAGGCAGGTGGATGTGGGGGATCCAATTCCCCCGTTGGTGTTTCCAGGGGTGCATGGCCCAGGCCTCCCCTGAGAGTCCCTTGGTGGCTTTGGGAGCTGGGAACCAGGGCTAGAACTTGCAACTCTCCTGCCTCAGCCTCCCAGGCTGCTGGATTACAGGCATGTGCCAGCATGCCTGGCTGGAAGGCAGCCTTCCAACGCCCATGGAGCCCAAGCACCAGGAGCCCTGCATCACAGGGATGGGAGCAGGAGGACCCCAGGTTCTGGAGGGCTGGGGGTGGGACCCTGAACTGGACTTGGACCACCAGGCGTGGCTTCCTGGTCTTGTACATGTGCACAGTGCAGGGACGCTCTTCACAGGACTGGCACATCACTGCCCAACCCCAGACCTTCCTAAGCAGCCCCACTTTGGCAGTGAGGGGAGGGGTGTCCTGCAGATTCTGGGACCCGCCTTTGTGCATCCAGTTCTTATAAAACACCTCGTCCCTCTGTACTGTGCAAGACTGGAACCTTCCCTGAAGAGCAGATTGCGAACTCCGGCTGGATTCTTGGGGGTTCGGGTGTATGCAGATTGTACTCGCAGAGGGTGCATCTTACAGCTGCCTCCAGAGCCACCTCTAGAGGGCACTGTGCGCTAGCAGCACCACTGCACTCAGAATTATGAGGGTGCATTTTTAGTAACTAAGGTAAATAAAACCAGGAGGTCATGAGGGGTCCCTGCAGGAAACCCCTGACAGTGACTGTCACAGGAAACTTCCTCTGGCGTGAGCCTGCAGAGGCCGGTCAGCTTCACACAAAATCATCTGCCCTGCAACTGCCAGCCCAGCCTTGGGCTGAATCCACTCTCCCTTCCATCCCTGTGGCCAGCTGAAGGTGACTGTTTGGAAAGATCTGGAGCAGTCCTTCAGCGCTGTGTTTGACCCTCGTGATGCGCTCCTACTCTGCACTGCTCCCCTTGCAATGGGAAGAAGAGGGAGACAGCCAGGCCACAGGGAGGGAGGTGGCAGGAGCTGGGAAGCCGGCAGCCAGCTCGGGGGTCTCACCGACTCAGGAATCCGGGCCGGTCAGTCCAGGCCCCATACACTGTGCAGTGTCAGCCACCATGGTGGCCCTGCTGGCAGCCCCTCTGCTTGGCCAGATCTCCCCTGCTGCATCTCTGATCCCACCGGCTAGGTCCCCAAACTTGGGTCCACTTCCAGCACTGATGGTAGAGGCCTCTCTCCCTGCCCCTCCTCAGAAGCATCTGGGCTTTTGTCCTATTTCCCTGGATCTACCTGGATGTCCCTTCCATTGGAAGGGGTGCAGGCCAGAGAGGCCCCTCAAGTCCAAGAGGCACAGGAAGAGTGGGAGCCAGGGTCCCCCACGGGCACCTCCCATGGCGCCACCTCAGCAGGGACCAGAGGAGGAAGAAGCCTGAGATGCAACAGGCCTAGGGGCTGTGAAAGATAGGTGTTGGCCTCTGGTCCTTGTCATTAACTCCCGGAGCTGCTGGCAGAAATGGAGCCTGCACCCCTGTCCCAGCCTCGAGCTTGGGTAGCAGCTGCACCTGCCTCTTCCCCTCCTCCCCGCCCCCCAACCAGGTATCTGGAGGCTCCTCCTGCCACCTGTGCCCCACATGCCCCAGCAGCTCCTCGTGGGGTTCTCTCAGGACCCTCGGCTTCCCACGGCCCAGGAAGGAGGCCTTTTCTACTCCGAGCTCAGATTGCAGGGTACCCCGAGATGGCTTTCTCCTGCCCCCAGCGGACAAACAAAGGCAAACACACAAATGGCAGACATTGCTGGCCTGGGGCCATGGCACTCGGGGCCCATGGCCTCAGCTGGCCACATCTGCCGGGGACAATGCACAGAGCTTGGTGCGCTGCAGATGTGTGGGCCCAGCCACTGTGGCTCTAGGGAGGAGGCCTTTGTGCTGGGGTGGGGTGGCTTTGTGAGGACCGACCCATCCTGCCTGCTGTTGTGAGGGTCTGAGGGGGCAACGCTGTCATCACTGTTCCCAAGGGGCCTGGTATGCAGACCCTGGGGTCAACACAGAGCAGGAGCTCAAGGTGCCAAATCTGGGGGAACTCAAAATAAACACTCCAGCTGCAGAAGTAGCAACCACGGCCCACAGGGCTTGAAGCAACACCCTTCTGGCTGTGGGTGTCTGCAGTCCGCTGTCCAACCAGGTCTCCCTGGGCTGAAGGGAAGGTGTTGCAGGGCTGTGGCTAGGGGCTCAGGGTGCCAACTCCTGGCCTCCCCCAGCCTCTGCAGGCCTCCCTCCTGGATCTGTCCTCTCTTCTGCCCCCTGGCCTGCTTTCAAGGACCCTGGTAACCACTTTGGGCCACCAGGATAACCCGAACCACCTCCCTATTTTAGGATCAGCTGATGAATGATTCCTGTCCCATCTGCTGCCCTCACCTCAAGAGACAACGCATGTGCAGGCAGATCCTGGGCCCAAGAAGGTTTCGGCTTTAGTGACATGTTTATCTCTGGCCCTGCAGCCTCCTGCCCTAGTGGGACCGACCCGCCCTTCCCTGGGAGCACCCAGCAACATAGCTGGTTCTAAACTGAGATGTGGGATCAATAAACCGCATTGCACAAAGGGAGCACACACTCAGAGCTGTCCCTTCCTAATAACTCTCTCATCCGCCTTGCCGTTGGAGTGGTTCACTTCTAAGCATCCGAAGTCCTAGCTGACTGTT